GATTAATAGTCATGCCGATATTAGAGGTGAGCTAGTCCCGACAGGGGGGAGAGCTGGAAGCTTGGCGCACGGTCCTTGCAGACGGGACTGATTGGATCCCGTGGTCCATTTTGGCGGGTTCCCAGCAAAATTGACACGGGCAGCTTCTCTCCCCGGTTGCGGTACGTACCTGAGAGCCACGTTCCCTCGAGACTCCCTCTCGTGCCTCAAGTTCTCTCAACGATGTGTCTCTGACTGCCAATATCAACGTTTGGGACTGTCCTACAGCAGTAGGAATCCTGCGATAAATATCAACTTCCGGCGGATCAACAGACGGAATACGACACCCAAGAGGCAAGATGCGGCGCACAAGCAGCAGCACAAACAGGCCCCCGAGTTTTTTTTCCATCTGCAAGGCGATGAACGGGCTGAGAGGGGGGCGTAGGAGTGTTCCACTGGTGGATACGACAAGTCCTCGATGTGGTCGAAACGGGGAGATCTCGTGGTTCCATCCCTGCAGGGCTCCCAAGGGCACTTGGTTCGGTTGAACGCCAGCTCAGCCCGGCCGTGCCAGTCAGAAGCCATCGTCTGCCCTCTCCCACAGGTGCCACCGTCCCGTCCGGCCTCTCGGCAGGAAAAAGCCTTGTCGTTGTTTATTGTCTTCGGCATGGCCATGACCAAAGGCCATTTCAACGATTCTTTTTGGGGAATGCTGTGACGGATGAGAATGCCTTTTCCCAGCGCAAGCTGTGGCTCACGTTGGTGAGAGCGCCACAGTGCCCAGGCGGCCAAGACTGACTCGAGAAAAGGCCCCCCTGAACGCCTTCGGACGGTACCGCAAACCTCGGACGGGCTGCCCTAGGACCACCAAGAAAAGGTGCCAGATCGCTCGTTCACTTGACTAGGCTGGCTTCGTCCGCTAGGAGAGAGACGCCGTTGCGTTCGCAGTGGCATCACTGAATGTCAGAGAAGGAAACAACTGTCAATCTGAAGGATCGTTCGCCACCCAACTCGCAACGAGAAGATCGCTTGCCATCGTTGTAACGAATGCCAGCTTTCCCGCTACCCAGTCCGCAGTTAGCGGCTCAAGCCCGACAAACCCCTTCCCTCGTCATCTCAATAGTTAATACCTATTACCCCAGACGCTGCGGCGGTATTGCGCTGCGACACATGTCGCCATTGAAGCAAGAAATCCGAACACCCAGCAAATGGCAACGGGTAATAAACAGCACAAGCGCCAGTACGGATACACTACGAATAGGCATCGTTTGAGTCTGTGCTAGGGTGCTAGGGTGATCTCTGTGAGAGCGTGCTGCCATTCCCAGGGGTGTTTCCGAACAACAAAACGTCGGCCAACGTTGACGGGATGGGGTTTGACCACAAAACGAGGTCCCATTCGGCTTGGCCTGATGTGCCGGTGTGACTGGCCAGCAGTGAGTGCTCACAGACAGGCGGTGGCAGGGGGGCCTGAAGAAGTCCCCGGAGCTATTAAAGATCGAAGGCCATGCAGCCATCACATCCTTGTCCACACCCACCCATGGCGCCTCGCAACCAGCGGTTCCCGCCAGGGAAGGCCCCTTGATGGGCAATGCCACGTACACACAAGAGATGACCTTTCCGGGCAGACAGACGAGAGCTTGGTAGAGGGGAGAGAACGCAGGATGTGAGGAGTACCGAGAAAGGCAACGAACGCTTGAATCGACGATGACAGTGGTATTTCGCCGTCAAACATATGTCGTTGACACAACAAAGCGCGGCCACAATTCTCAAGACAAGAGAGGCTTGTTCCGGCTGTCTCGTCCAACTCCGACCACGAGCGTTCCCCCCCAGCTGCTGTCATGATTGGTATCCCCCACTCGGCACCGTACCTTGCCTTGCTCATTCAAGGTTTGGCGGTACGTACATGACGGGTAAGAATTGGAAACAGACGACAAACCGCTGCCCATCTGCGCGGGCTGCAGCCCCAAGAGGCGCGGCCCTCTCTCGGCATTAGCCTCCAGGGCGGTGGCCGCATGGGGCAAAAAGAGAGAAAGAAAGCCATGTACGTATCGATTTGTGCATGCAAGCTAAGCCGTGCCGCAATCAAGACAGACGACGGTTGGGCGGAGACGTCAGAACATACACAAGCACCAGTGGTCCAGTGCACCAGACAAGCATAGTCCGGCGCTGCTGGGAACTGGTCCCGTTGCTCGTCTCGTCTTCCCTCCTTAGCCTGGCACGCCTGGCAAGTCTGTTTCTGCGGCGTGCTTCCGCGCATGTCTGGCCCTGCTTTAGTTGTGCACCTTTGGTCGTGGAACAATGCTGGGGGCCAGAAACAGCCACGAGGTTCACAAGACTGGGAACGTTTCTGGACCTCCCGCCTGCGTGTCGCTTCTGATCTCCGACCGGCGAGGTGGAGATGGGTAATCCGTAGCGGGATCAAGTCACTCGAAAGGAGAGGAGGAGGGATGGAAGATGCCGGAGCACGGAGGCAGGTCGCTGGTCACTGGCAGTGGTGATACAAAAACTGCATTCGATTGGCGCAGATGCGCTAGAAGCGAACGTACGGCGGCGCCCGCAATGGGCAGATATGACGGACGGCAGAGTCAAGGAGTTTGAACGAGCAGATCAGCTGGGTTGAAGACATTGGAGGTTTTCGGTTTTTCCCATTGCTCCAAGAAACTGGGGAGCCGCCTTACGTAAGGTGGGACTCGATGGTGGGCTCGAGATGTACAAAAACTCCAGCCAATCCGTGCATCGCTCTCCCGTGTTTGTATGTACTTTTCAATGTATCTTTTGACTCTACAGACTCATTCTGCGTATGGATACGTATGAGGTACTTCGTACCTTTGTCATGGTCGGTACGGAGTACGGAGCACCTTGAAAGTTCAACGTTTCCAGCCCTCTGTCCGTCACGGTCCAACTGCCTGTATCCTTACGTCTGTCAGTCAGGAAGAGCCCAGCATCCACTGTACCTTGCTTGTTCTGGACCCCTGAAACCATCGAGGTTTTTTTCCCTTCTTCTTCTTTTCTTCTGGTGCGGCCACGATGGACGCTCGTCGATATGCACGCCGGTACCTATGCATCGATCTGTGTGAACCTTGGAGGGCATTCGCTTGCACCGTAGTCAACCAAACGACTAGAGATCGACACACACTGAGCAAGAGATTGGGCGCTATCACGCACTTTGGATAGCCAGTCGTGCCGGTGCTGTTTTGGATGGGAGTGTGCCAGGTAGGAGGATCCATCCCCGATGCTCACATTGCACAACAGCATGGAGAAGCCTAGCGAGAAGCGAGCGACGTACTATGTACTCCCGTCACTCCGTACTCCGTACTCCGTAGTCGTACCTTTCGAGATCGAGAAAAAAAGCACGCACAGCCGGCTGGGCCCCAGGCTTGGAAGGCAAGGCACGAGGCAGGGAAAGAGGGCAAAAAAAAAAAAGATTGAGAGGTAAAATGTACTTTTACGCATGCGCGAGTATGAGACGGTACTTGGGACAAAGCGCAAGGGGCGGCATTGCGACTTGGGGGTGTCAGGACCACCTTCAAAGTGCCCCGAAATGTGGCTCTCCCGGGAACCCTGTCTTGAGTAGCAGCCCCAAACACCAAACCCCAAGTTCGATGGACCATAACAACAAATTGATGGACGGGGGACCACGGGATTAGCAGAGAATTATCGTTTTCTCGAAGGCTGCCCGCCCCTTCTGCCTCCCCCTCCCCAGACACAATTCTCTCTGGGACCTCCCCTGATCTCAATGGTGGAAGAAGGTACCTCTCGAGTCGCCGTTTCCTTCTGCCCGGCACTGCAGCAAGTTTTTCGTTCTTCTATTCTAGTCGAGAGAAGCGCGCTTCGAAACATGGCAACACATACCTAGTGAACAACGGGGTAAGTCAAAGAAATTGCCTGCCGTCTCGTCATTGTCGTGGTCGTCGTACCTAGCGGCTGGCCCAGATTTCTCAATGGGATCGCTGACTGGCTAGTGATTTCGAGGAACGGTCCAAGAGGTACGCTGAAGGTTAAGTACCTTGGATCATGCACTTTGGGGCCTTGGAGCCGGCTCCACACCCGCCCGACATGTGCGGTACGTACCTTTCGTGGGTAGGGACGCAGTAAGGTAAGGTATGTATGCTTGTTCCTCCAGCTTCCCGTCCCAGTTGATGGCAAGCCCAGACGTGTGGAAAGTCTCCAAAGATTTCGTGTGTGTGTCTCGGTTGATGCTGGCTTTTGCGTTCATCAGTCTTTCCATTGCCTGGGACTTGCAAAGCCTCGACCAGGGTCCGGGGCCTCAGGCTGGTCCCTTTCCCTTCTTTCCTTTACTTCTCCCCTACCACCCTCATCTAGCGAGTTCCCTGCTGCTCCTGATCCGACTGCGACAGGTGTGTGTGCGTATGTGTGTGCAAATGTGTGTGTGTGTGCGTGCGCCGCCTGCAACTGCATCGTCGTGCTGCTGCACCGATGGGGATGGGGGCATACATCGGGTCGTTGGTGGTCGCGGTAGTGTCGAGGGCAACCGTACGGCACCTCGAGCAGAGAAAAGAAAGCTGCTGGTGATCGACGGGACGGCGGTAGGCAGGTAAGTTTATGGGGTGAGTGCATCAGCTAGTAAGGTATGGTATGGATTTGGTAGTGTATCCGTACTATACCGTGGTATATGGTACGTATGGGTAGCAGTAGCGAAAATGCCACTGCCAGTTCTATGCGCACTTCGGCTTCCATCCATCAAATGATGCTGCGCAGGTGGCAGCTAAGGACGGGACAGTGAGTGCAAGCAATGCGGAGGCAACGCCGCGACGCCGCGACGCAGAGAGCGAGGAAAAGCGTATCGTGCTCATCCCGTCATGCTGCCCCAGTCACAAGTCCCAGATCATAGATGTACTCCGTACGGAGTACCTTGGTCGCAATCGCAAAGTGCCAGGCCAGCCCAGTCAGGTCTCTCTCTCTCACTCTTCTCTGCCTCTTGAATCTTGCCCAGGTGTCTCTCCTCTTCCTCGTCTTCGATCCATTCCATCCATCCTCCTCTTTGCTGCAGTGCTGCCCCGGTCAGTCATAGGCAGTCCCCTACCTTAGTCGCTAGTCCAGTCAGTGCCCGCCATTGAATCCAACTGGGCTGCTGGCGCTAGCGCCACGCCTCACGCCTGGTCTCGCCTAAACAAGGTACGTAGGCTACGTACCGCCAGATTCAGATTCGCCCATCCTTCCATTTCATCCACTCTTGCGGGCTTCCTCAATCTTCAATCTTTCCTCATCTTGAATCGACGACTGCAAAAAATCGCTTCCCCCTCGACCGACGACGCCAGCAAAACGCGCCCACGAAGGCTCTCATCGAGTCCCCCGTCGAAGTCTCTTAAAGAATCCCTTTTCAATCACGCCGCCCACAGCGGCGCCGAGCGGCATGGTCACCAAAGAGTACCTCGACTCGGACAGAGTCAACTTTCTCGTCTGGAGGTGAGTTCACCCTTTTTGCGTCTCACCCACTCCCGCCCGCCGCACCTCCACGCACAATCGCGCCTCACTCATCTCACGCCCTCTGCCTTTGCCCTCTCATGAAATGCCTCTCGACGGCCGGCCACGCGCCCTCATGCTATCGCTGACATGCTGACTTTGACTCTCCTCTCAGGTATCTCTTGGAAGGCAGTACGTGACAACCAACCGTCTGGGTACAGCCAGCGACAGCTGGTGGTGGGCCACGGGCTTTTTTTTCTGACGATTGCAGACTACCGAGAAACCGCAGCCAAATTCCAGAAAGAATGGCACATTCAGCAACCTCATCGCCATTTTGACTTCGCAAATCACGTCAAGAGCCACGCTTTGGTGTCCGTCATCAACAAAGGCCTCTGCTACCATGCCCTCGAGCGAGAGCATGCGAAGAAATTGGTAAGGCATTGTGCTCCACTCGGCTGTCCTTCCCCCTTCCCTTCCGCGTCATGAACAACCGGTGCACCCCGAGTCGGCGGCGAGACGGACGGGTGGGTGTGTGGGAAATGTGCGAACTCTGGCAAACTAACGTTTTCTCTGCGCGTGCAGGTGCCTTCAGATGCTGCGGCTGCGGCCGAAGCACTGCAGGTGGGGTTGTTTGGGCCATTGATCGCTCAACCGCCTCAAAAGATTGAGGAGGATGAGGACGCAGATGGCGAGGTGGACGACACAGAGATGGAGGTCGAAAACACTCGGAAACGCCAATTTGACAGCCGGCCACAACAGCAGCACATGGTGAATGGCGGCTCACCCAGCAAGCGGCCCAGGCTTAGCAATGGGTATGAGAGCACGAACGGGGCGGATGCAGCCACGGACCCCATGGAGCTAGACAGCCACGGCGACAACAACCACGCCTATCCGTCGCCTCTTGAAGGCGAGCAAGCTCCGACGCCCACCCCGAGAACAGATGGCCCCGAGCAGGGCACGCAAGTCGACAAAGTCGAGGAATTGGCCACAGAGACGACATTTCTGCGATTAATGCCCGATGACAGCAACTCCAGCGCCAATGCCACCAACAACGCTCGCGACGGCGGCGCCCCGACGACTTTGACTACCACTGCTGCAAGCGCAGGCGGCCCCGGAGCTTCGCCCTCGCCAGCCAACGGTGAAAACGCACCCATCCTGTTGCGCTGCGAGTGGAACCCAAAGGACCCATCAATCTTGGCGGCTGCTGGAACCGATGCGCTAGCCCGAATTTGGACCATCTCACGTTCAAGCACAATGACGCCCACTCCAGCTCCCGAACCCGACGGTCACGTGCATGGTGTACATCGGCCGTTTCATAGTCTCATCGACGACGAGACTCCCAAGACAGCCACAGTCGGTCAACTTGCTTGGAATAGTGGGGGAACGGCCATTGCCATCGCCATCGAACATGGCGACAGGGCATCGGTTCACATCTGGGCAAAGGACGGTTCTCATGTTGACAAGTTCGACGTCTCAGACCCTCCCGTGATCAAGCTCCGTTGGAGCCCGAGCGATGCAGCCCTTCTCGCCATTGCGCCCGATAACAGCAACGCAAATGGACCCGGCGGCGCTCTGGTCACTGTCTATCATTCGCTGACGTCCAACACATTGTCCTATTTCCTGCCAAATCACGACTTGCTCAGCTGGCCACTGGATGCTGCGTGGACCAGCGAAACAGAGTTCCTCCTCACCGGCGGAGATGTCATGCTGTCACTAAAGTGCACGGAGACGGCCATCGTGCCGAACAAGAAGTTGGAGAGCCGAGAGGACGACACATTTACTCAGGTTGTCTATGACCGGCGATCAAAACTTTCTGCTACCGCGAGCGACAAGGGCATCCTGGATGTAAGTGTCCCGAAACGCCTGTGCCATGAAAGTTCAGCTGACTCAACCTTGTAGCTTTGGGACGAAGATGGTCACCGCCGGTCAATAACGGCCCACTCTGGGGCGATCACGGCGGTACAGTGGCAGCCTCTCCCGGACGATGCCGTCGTGCCGGAAGACGAACGATTGATCGCATCTGGAGGCGACGATTGCGCCATTATCATCTCCAACGCCAAGGACCCTGAGCCTGGAAAACCAAAGTCCATTCTGACCATGGAATCGCCCATTGTATCGATTGCGTTCACACCAGATGGCGCATTCATCGCCGGAGCCACGGCCGGTCGCATTCTGATCTGGAAGGTTGGCGAGCAGCACACGATGCCAAGAGCGAGCTGGAGCAGATCGCCACATCCCGGATGGCTCAGTCCCAAGGCGAGCTCGGAGCCGGAGGACGAGGATGAGCACTGTCTGTGCTGGGATGCCGACGGACAACGGCTCGCCTATGGAGCTAACAGCAGAGTAAGTCATATCTCAAGACCTCATGGTGCGACCTGATTCTAATTCTGCGCAGCTGGCTGTTATCAACTTCCGTCGGTAGACGAAACAGAGATTCCGTGCCCTCTGGCACACGTTTAAAGTCGTTCAAAGCATTCCAATGGAGTGTTAGACGTTATAGAGACTCGGTACTCCAACACCAAACCGCCGAGACCTTTCGAGAAAGGGGAAACCATTTCCACTCTCCAAGAGTCTCAACCAGACGATTCTTTGTCGTGCATTTACCACTTTCGAATTTTTGCAGTTATCCGGCGTCGCGGCGGTGTTGTTTATCGATGATTTCAGACAGGTCCCCAACAAACGGGGTTGGGGCGGGGAACCGGCTGCCTTCTTGCATACGCATACCTTCCATCTCACATTACAACTGAAGCTTCTGGAAAGGACGACTGGCGTCTGCGTTGGGTTAGATGTCACCGTGGTAGATGATTCGGTCCCTTTCCCCCCTCTGGTTGACTGATTGTTCCCCTACGTACTCGTGTCCTGCCAGCGGAGGGAGGGTACTTACTTTGACACTTGAGGGCTCAACACGTTGTACACTACGCCTGTATATACCAAACGATATGGAAAAAGGAAACTATGACACTTGACTTCACGCTGGTTTGATTTGTGTGTAATTCTTTGACGATGTCGTGAAGGACTCTATAGAATACCATTGTGGTTCTAGACATATCGCGAGGTGATGAAGAGCGACAGCCTTTGGTGAGAAGGAGTTCTACGTCGGAAATTCTATGTCACCATCATTATAGCTTCTAATGCAAAATGTAACGTATGCGATGTGGCTCCAAAAATTGCTAGCAGTAAAAGAAAACATTACCTACCTTAGATCACCGGCGGCTTGGTTAGACGTGACACAAATGGCAACCGGCGCCCCGCATCGGATCCGGACGGACGACGGAGAAGAGGGGGAGGGGAAAGTACACAGCAGAAAGGGAAAGAGAAACCCCAGCCACACTTTCGCCAGCGCCTCTCCTCCAATGTCGTGCCCCGCACGTGTGATTTCCAACGACGACGTCCCCTCCATTTTTCATCCGTGCGCCGCGTCCGTTACCCTTCCTCTGATTGCAAAAGAAGGTGCGGAGTATCAATTCTATTGTCTTCCCGCCCTCGACGACGATCGAAGAACGCATTGTTTCTTTTTCGAACTTCTTCCCGTGGTGGACTCGACGATCGCGACTGGTCGAGGGGGTGTGTGCTTTATTGTCTCACTGAGATCCGGACGTGGTTTTTAGCTCGCGATATCTCGACACTGCTGGACGAGTTTATCCTTTTTTGACGACCGGGTTAACGAGCGAGGCGACTGCGTGTTGAGTGAGGTGAACGTAACGGCGCCAGGCAGGATCGACCCTCATACCTAAACGTGCCTAATCGACCTGGCAGCTGAGAGCTCTCACCAACCGACCATTGCGACCTCTCATCTCTCTCACCTCCCACTCACCCACGTACAACACGCTAAACCACAACCCATCAACCACTCTTACAACATACACATCACACACTTACACCATACACACATCACACGCAGGAAAAATGTCAGCGCCATACTACACCCCCCAACGACCCTACTTCCCCCCCTCAAACCACCCCTCCGCATCCTCCTCCACCTCCACAACACGCGCCGGCGGTAGCGGCAGCGGCGCATCAGGGGCAACAGGAGCACCCTCCTTCACACCCGCCATGCGCGACCGCCAAGCGCGCGGGAAAGACCCCTACTCGCCGCACGATAGCCCCTCGGACTCGGATCTCGAGTTTGAAGGCGGGGCCGGGGGTTCGCCTTCGAGGGGCGGCGGCGGGGTGGGTAGGTTGGGACACCTCGGTCCCGGGGCCGGACATCACGGCGGCGGCGGTGGTGGGATGTTAGCTGGGGGAGGAGGAGGAGGGGTTGGAGATGGTGATTCGCATGAGGTTAGGAGAAGGAAGCTCTGGGCTGTTGCTGTGCTTGAGGATCCGGAGAAGTTGGCCATGTATGCGTGTAGTCGCGGAGACGTGAGTACCGTTCCCCCTTTTCTCCTCTTTTTTTTCTCTTTCGACCCGTCTTTCTCATTCCGTGTATGTCGCGCACCAGACTGACATTCTTCGCAGAGCATCCCCGGCACCCGCCTCCACTTCACACGCATGCTCTGCGGTTTCGACGAGGAGCCGATGCACCAGCAGCAGTCGGACCACCGCAAGGCGTCGGCGTCGTCGTCTTCGGCGCGGCGGGATCCGAGGCGGCGGAGCGCTGGAGGGGACCGGATGGGTCGTCATTGAATCGGGCCAACAAGGCACTTTTTACCCTTTGACGGGCTCTTTTCTTTGACGGCCTCTTATTTGATGACTCTTTTTAACGCGGGTTGCGGGATTACGGAGTTGGGACTTTTGATCATGAAATTTTTGGGGGATGGTATAGATCTTCTTGGGAGGATTGGTATTCTTTACGGGAAAGCAGCCTGCTCTAGCCCTTCCTTGGCGTTTCACTCGTGGACGGTCTTGACGTGACCAGGGGGGGAGGGGAGACATCCCTCGGCTGTAGTGGACGAGGTCGGCCTTAAATCGAGGCACACGAGGAAGAAGAGAAATACGGCGTAATGGAGTCACGGAATCACCACCCTGTCCTGCATCCCCAATTACACACTCTCTCGAGTAAGATAACCAGCAATCCTTTCATGATGACGAAGGCGCCTGTCAAAGAGATCTCAATATGTGAAAAAGGGATTGTATGTCGGTCTCCCGCTGGTATCCGCACCGGATCAGCCAGCTGACCTTGAAGAAGCTATGTAATTCTCTCTCTCTCCCCTCTGCCGTTCTCTAGGTAAGCTACGGTCAGGCCAGGTTTATCCCTACGAGTAGGTATACAACCCCAGACCCCTCTCTGGTCATCATAATTACACGAAATGGCAATCCCGTCTAGAAGAACAGGTTTGCCGTGGTTCCAATGTGCAATCGTCGAAGATCCCCCCAGATGGAATTTTGAATCCAAAATGGGGGCAGTAATAATAGTAAATGAAAATAAGGGAAAAGCACCGCCAACGCCGAGTAATGCAATGGTCTAGAGTAATATCCAACTTGTCCCGTCCTGTCTCTTTCCCTCCTTGAGCTGTTCCAGGTTCATCGCCTTTTTAAGCGTACCTGGCGCTCTGAGTCCTGTTCATCTCCCAGCCCCCATTCTGATAGGGGTCACCGCCATGATAAGGCGGAGGCGCGCCGGGCCGCGTAGCAGCCGGCGGCGGCGGAGGGATGTTGGGATTACTCCATGCGCCCCCGTAGCTGTTCCACCCGCCATTGTGCGCCATCGCCGGCACGGGCACGGGTTTGAGGCGCTTGGCCCTCTGCCGGCTCCTGCTCCGCCGGCACGCGCCGCAGATGCAGCTAAACAATACAATGAGGACCAGGAGGCCGACGACAATGACGACGGGGATGAAGATGCCCTTGTTGTTCTGGATCCAGTCCATGATCTCGGTGCCGGCGTTGGCGCCCTGGCAGACGCCGTTGGAGCACTTGCCGCCGCCCGTGCACGACGTGCCGTCGAGGAAGTTTTGGTTCATCGTCACGCAGGCGCCGTTGCCGATGCTGGGGACGTTGCAGGAGATCATGCAGTCTGAGCTGCCGCTGTTACACGAGGTCACCGAGGTGGAGTTGGTGCGCGATCCCCAGGCGGTCTTGCACTGCTGGTCGCGAGAGGTGCACTGTCCAGAGGCGCAGGTGAGGCCCTCGCCAGAGTTACCGCAGGAATCACCATCGGCCTTGTGCTCGTCGCTGGGACACGTTGATGATGAGCCGCTGCAGGTCTCCTGAGGGTCGCAGGAACCGGTGCTCGTTCTGCACACGGTACCATTGGAAGCGAACTGGCACTGGCCGTTGCAACAGTCCTCGTTGGCGGGGTCGCAGACTGATCCGGTGGTGAACTTGCACGTCGTGGGGTTGCAGCACCTGTTGCTGCCGCAGCCAGAGGTTCCACCGCAGTCGCAGTCCTCGCCAGACTCAACAATGCCGTTACCACATTGGCTTCCGGTGATGGTATTGACATTTCGGTTGTTCGTCAAGCAAGACGACTTGACCTGGTTACGGAGAAGACCGGAGCAAATGTTACCGATACTGCAAGGAGAGAATGCTCTGATACCAGTGCCGGTCGACGGGTTCATAATGTAGGAACCACCCGCATTACAGGTGCTGGAGCTCAGGGGACAGCACCGCTGCATATCAGAATCGCCATTGCTGCAAGTGTCGGAAGTGCAGTCGTGTACGGCACCAAAGGTATGGCCGACCTCGTGAGCGATAACCTGCCACTCACTTGGCGTCTGGATCACGACGTTGGCCGACGCAACCGTCTCATTGTTACTGCCGCTGCCTGATGTCTGGGCTCCATCGGTGCAGGCCTGTCCCAACCACGCCAGACCAACAGCGGAATCGGTGCCGCAGGTACTCAGGAGCGTCCAGAAGGCGTTGTCATCGTTGGACTTACCACGCCACGCCGAGAAGAGATTCAGACGATCAGTGATGGTGACGCTGTTACTGCATGCGACGTTCCACGGGGCGGTCGAGCTGGCCTGTCCAGGGCAGTTGGCGTCGCTGATTGTGAGATTCTGAATTCCGAGTGAGATGTTGAATGTGCTCTCATACACTTCGGAAGCGGCGTTGATCACGTCGATGATGTTCTGCCTAACAGCCTGCGTTGAGTTGAAGGCGGCGGTGTAAGTGCAGTCCGTGGCAACGCCGAGGAGGGCGATCTTGCGCGTCGTCGGGCATCCGTTGGTTTGTCCGATGGTGGAGACGAGGTTGACACCTGCGCCGTTGTTACCGGTGCTGCCGTCAATCTGCCTGCCGAAGATGTTGCGTCCGAAGAGAGAGTTTGATGGCACGGACTGCAGGGGTTCGGTATCCCGCGCGTCAAAGATCTTGTAGTCGGTGTTGAAGTCCAAGCTGTCCGAGTTGCATGAAGACCGGCCGAAAATTTCCCGCTTCTTCTTCAGATCCTCACGGTCGGTCCAGTATTCGATAATATCCGAGTCCCTCCAGACCACCATGTACTCGTCGGGGTTCCGGCCCTTGCCCGGAGCGTCGGGGTCCTCGCGGTGCTTGCGCGCATGGTAGTTGGTTCCGGTCTGGATTCGGTGGTGGTCGTCGTCGATGCGGAAAGCGCCCTCGAAAATGGGTTCCGCGCCGTCTCGGTGTACCGTGATTCGAGCCCATCCAGCGTGCCTCCAGTCGTTGGGGCTTCCCTCGTGGCGTACGAATGCCTTTCCCCTGAATACCCGGTGCTCTAACCTGTCGACAGTTTCTGTGGTGTGGATCTTGCCGTCGTGGCCCATGTAATTCACTTGGAGGTTGTTGTGGAGAATGTCATCGTTCGGTTCTAGCGCAAGGCGTATTTCCTGTCGCTTGTCGTGTATAGAGAAAGTGAGATCGAAGTGCGAAAGGGCGTGGCAATGTTGTGAAGGGGAGTGGAAGACCGCATCTTCGAGGATGGTGACATAACTCAGCGGGTTGCGCTGTGTCGAGTGTGCTATTCGCCGTCGTCAATACGCCTCGCAGTACACCATCGCTTTCCTACTACATACCATAAACACTCTGAGGAAGAGCCGCGAGGCCGGCAAAGGCGGCAGCTATGGTCCTGAAGGAAACCATGGTTTGTGGTGGTGTCCCCGCAAACGGGGTGAGGCTCAGAGAGGCCTCTCGGTTGTGGTGTTGCGTAAGCCTCTCAAATAGGGGAGATTGAGAGTGAGGAAGAGGGTCGGTTTGCGATCGTCTTAAACCACTGTTGTGCCCACGTCGCACCGCGTCGTCCCGGGTGGTTTCCAAAAAAGAGCAAATACACACGAGAAGACGATGGGGTGACGAACGAAAAAGGTAACCAGACAGACAGCAAAGTAATAAAACAAGAATGAACGAATGGAGAGTGGTGGACGGGGAAAAGAAGGTGGAAAGTCCGGGTGCTGGCGGCCGTTCGACGAGTGACGGAAGAGGAGAGAGCGCCAATGCTCAGGAACTTGCGGATGTGGGATTCCTCGGGGGGCGTGTGGCACACTGCAGAGTGAGAGTGAGAGTGAGAGTCCACTACAAAGTGCCAAAGAGTGTGTGCGAGTGTGAGATGAACGGTGGATTGCGCAACACGATCTCTTGGTACGGGGGCGTGGACCAACTGTATTGGAGCTCGGGAGGTGCTGTGGATTCCAGAGGCGGGCTGGGCGACGTCTTGGTAACTCTTGGCCTAGTGCTACTCGGCGTCGCGGCAGTGGCAACGCCAATGTCCAAGTATCCTCGTGGGGGCTGGGACAATGCAAGCTGTGCAAAGTACCCGTAGCGTCCGTAGCGTCCCTGGCAACCAACCCGGTTTTTGTGTCTGTATGTACGGAGTGGACGTACTTCGTACAGTGGTCTCTCTTGGTTTGTCGTGTTGAGTACGATGCAAGACAGAAAGAATGGAAATAAACGACAGTCCCAAAAGGGGCGGTTGGGTCGGGTGAGTGAGAATCAAGGTTGCGGGATGGGTTCTATTGTGGCTCTGCACACTCTTTTCTCTCCCCTCTAGACTCCTGACTGGCTGGTGGTGTACCCTTCTCCAGGACCGGGGGAGGAGGAGAAGAAGAAGTCTACTGCGCAGGTACTGTACGTAGTACGCAGTGGAAGGATGTCAGGATGGAGAATGGTTCGGATTTTGTGTCCCTGTTTCACTGTTAGTTGCTGACAACCTTTTGGCAACGGAAGCCGCAAATGCCAATTAATTCTGCGACCCGGTCGATCCCCCATCGACCCCGAGCCCATGGACGCCAACACGGGCGCTACGCTGGACGCTGCGCTTGCTCGCTCGCTCGCTCTCGTGATCCATCCCAGGCACTTGGGCTAGCTTGTCACTGACACCAACACCCCGAATAGGAATTAAACGAGAGCAAAATGGGCCTCGAAAGAAAAGAAGAAGAAAGGCCGAAGAACCCGCCGTCCGTAGCCTGACTCCGGTCCAGCCAAAGAAAAAAACACCACTGATGCAGAAGCCGGCATCGGGGCTTCTGTGTACTTCGTAATGTTTGCGCTATAGTTCATCTCATGGCGCTGACCGACATATGCACGCAATGATTCAGGCTCATGCAAGAATAGGAAGACTGCAAGAAGAAAAAAACTTCATTCCAACATACCTCTTTGATGCCGACACCAAGTGGGATGCGGGTGCGTGCGTTGCGTTGCGTTCGTAGGCTGTAGCGAGAGGGGAATCCCGGCGTTGAAAGCCAAGATGCTCCTTTCCCGGGGATCTGACACTGTCCTCGTCTGAGCTGAGGCACGAGGAGACCTGGGAGGGCCGTTGGAGTCCAAGTCCCGCGAATACCTGCTCCAACTCCCGTGAATGCAGAGGGGGCGATGGCCTATCAAGGCAATGGAGCCGATGAATGGAGGGGGGAAGGACTGGACGTGATGGGATGAGATGGCAGCCCTGGGAAAGATGTATCGGGCTGAGCAATTGGCAGCGTGTCAGCGGTTTCTCTGAGGATTCTCCTGCACTCCTGCACATGCACGTTCAATGAATGGTGGTGTGTTGAGTTTTCCCTTTCCCTTGACAGAGGGGGATCCCTACTTTACACAGAACTGTGTACGGATAATCGTGGGCTATTCTTAGCCGTGCTGTTATAGACAGAATACGTACCTTTTCCCGACTTTGGTGGTGGTTTTTCCCTTCCAGATTCCCCAAAGGCCCAAACCCTTGGCTCCAAGTTGCGACCTTTTTCCCGTTGTGTGTTTCAGACCCCAATGGAATGGCACGCTGGGCCAGGTAGACTGCAAAATAGGGCGCTTTCTCGGCCAATGGCAACTGCCTCACCCTTGGGAAAGGGTTTCGTCGAGAAATGATGCTGGCAATAGCAACCCGAGTGAGGGGGTTCTTCAAGCCTTTTTTCAAGTTTGACGTTTTGACGGGGAGCTTTAGAGAAATGTCGAGATCTCTATTGCGTATAGCCTCAAGGACAAAATGTACAACCTGGTGTGATCCGTTCAGTAGTGCATGCACCTACGATGATTTAAGTATTTTTTATTTTTTTTCTGATTCTTCCCAAAATCTTGGAATGTTCCCCGATTCTTTGACGGAATGGAATCTGTGGATCATTCGATTGCGCCGAGATACCACTATCATGCTCATCACTTTTTCTTGGCTTCCTTCTCTGCCACTGTGTACCCACGGTAAACGTTTTCTCGTCTGGATGGACTTTTCCCTCCGCGCGCGCGTCGGATGGGACGCTCTTGGTGCTTGGGTCCTACTGTACTTGCTTGTTGCAAATTCCCATTCACCACCGAAAAAACGAGTAAGCTTATTGAAGCTTACGTCTCCCTCCCCCCCTCTCTATACACTGGGTCCCTAACTTTCGGGAGGCTGAGCAGGGCTTGGCTTAGAGTTCTCTGACGGAGCCAACTCTGTCTCTGGGCCCCGGGGACTGCGTGGTTCGGGACCGCTAAACCTAATTGGTCTTTCTTTTTCCTGATGTCGCTCATCTTTCACTTGGAGGTTTCATTTTGCTGCTTTTTCTTCACAAAGTATCAGCAAGAGAACACTTCTAATACACCTGGGCACGCACCCGAGACAGCTTGGTTCGGTACGAGTTGCCAGGCAGCTCCAATCTCCAGGGTCTCAATCGAAGTAGTATTGGAAGTTACACAATCAGAAGAAACCCCAGAGTTGAATTAAACCTCCCGCGTACAGGGACGGCATGGGAATGGATGACAGAGTCCAGAAACTCAATATTCCCCTCCCCGCTATCGACCGAACCAATCATCCATCCTCGTCTTACACCTTGGCTTTTTCACCAGGGAAAACATCAGACGGCCTAGATTTCTAGAGCAACCATTGGCATCAACACCGCCTTTCCCTAATGTCCATCTCTCTACACAGCCCGCGCTGGTCAGTCAGTCAGTCAGTCAGTCAGTCAGTCAGTCAGTCGAAAGGGTCGGATTTAAGACCCTGATCCTCCGCCGATGCCGTGCAGTACCGCCGCATTCACGCAGCGTGAAAAAACAAAAAACAAGCACATCCAACTACTTACACTAGCACAACTTACATCTCGGCGCCCCCCTCATGAGGATTGCGCGTCAGACCCCATCCTGTGGTGGCTTTGCTGCGCTGCATGCACGAGAAAAAAGCCAAACGAAACAAAACAAGGTGCTTCTCGACCAACCATTTCGTTCGTGTCTGCTGAATAATCGACGACTTTTACCAAAAGTCGGTGGAAATGGACAGTGACCTTTCGCAAGTATCCCAACCGGATCTCTCACCTTACTGCGTACCTTACCTTATCCAAAGAGGCCTCCTCCATGTTATGTTCCTTGTCTTCCGAGAGAATCCAACCCTTTTTTCCCCACACGCATCAGGGTATCAAATTACCTCCGAGCAGTTCACGGCGCCTGAGGCTGCCGGATCTCTGGATGCCAAGTCCACGGGACATCTTCGTTTGCCAAGTTGCCAGGACTCCTCAGACGTCTAGCCTTGGTTCTTGGCCCGAACAGGTTGATCGTGGTTGTTGGGTTTCCGTCTCCGTCTGATCGTCATCTGATGCTTTTTTGGACAGTACAATAGAAACCAGGACGATGAGAATGTGACGGAAGCTGCCTTCATCCGGAGTGCTCCATCATAATCCATGACCACCACTTCGTGTTATATGGGTCATAACCGTTCGGACGCTACTTCGTGATATAGGAAAGAGTTGGAATTAAAGCCAGGGTATATCGTGATTTCATGACGACTGCTACTTACACATTTACTCACGTGATCATTGTCTAGTTGGACACCCTTCGTCCACACAGATCGTGGCCTGGCGATGAGTTGTCGGTGATATACAAACTGTGCAAAGCTCACGATCAAGAGGATGTGTAAGATACTCAAATACTTCATCAGTCACGGAACCCAAATTTCGTAAAGCCGGGAACAGAAAACCCAACTCAGAAAGACGATAGCAACACCATCATCGCCTCAGATGGCCCCTCCAGGTCATGCTAGGGATTCCGATTACACTGCCTTCTTCTCACAGTATCCCGTCAGCCACGTGTCTTGCCAAACTGAAGCACCTAGCGGCAGAAGACTAATCGAAAAGACAAGGTTTGCCGTACGGCGGAGTCCCCATCCTCTACTCGGATATAAGAGACACCTCTGATGACATGCCAAGTCCAACCAGTACCGCGTAGACCCTCAGCCAAGAGGCTACGGAATGAGGAAGGATGGACACAGCAAGGTGCCGTCCGCTCCTCGAGAACAATGATGATGACGACGACATCGCTTTGCCTCGCGCAGTTCTCCCCCCCAAAGGTCATCCGTACTCACCATCCACCAACACACCCTCCCCGTCCATTTCCGAATAGAGAGGAGACGAAAAAGGGTAGCCATGCAGCGCGGTGAGGCTATGCTTCCACGGCATTTCCAGACGTTCCCCAAATATTCCGGGGAAGCGCCGACCAAAAAAGGTCCCATCAGATAGAGGCCGAACCACCGATGGTAATCATCATCATCGTCATCCTCCAGCTGCTACTCCTCCTTCGCATTGCGTGAGAGGTCGCAGAAGGGAGACCTTCACCTATCTGCAAGCAGTAATCCGGCCCGGTCTCCATAGAACGGCAGATGCAGAGGCACACCTCACTCCCAAACATACAGATAACTGCACAATTAGCAGAGAACCCGCAAAACGACATCATTCCCGCCCCGCAAGGCCGCGAATGGTGCCGTTCTAGCGTCACGCATCTCCCCGCCGAACCGTGCTCTCCTGGAAATCTACGACTTACCTAGTAGCCTGTCTCCCAAACCTTGACAGGTACGTGGAGAGAAAGAAGGCAATGAACGGACCTCACACTCTCAACCGACGTGGCCCAAATGCCCTGCACTAGCGGCGCCGGAGTCCCAACCGGGGAGTGCGGCGGAGCGCCGAAAGATAAGAAACCGGGAGGCGGGATCCGAGTGTCAGCAAGCTGCAGATACACGGACGGACCTCTCTCTTTACTTTTTCCCCAGGTTCTCCGTTACTGTAGACTGGCCTCCATCATCGATCGGGCCGCAGTCGTGACCGATGGATTCGGCGTTCGAGAGAGCAGCTGAGCCTCGGTGGCAAAAGGGTAGCTTCGTCAACTACGAATCCTGTATCAGCAGGCACAGCCTTCCACGACTCTGATAACATCCTTCAAGCCGACCCGTTGATCGGTGGGAACCATGTCCCTGGTTCCTGGATGAGTTTACCCACTCGTCATCAGGACATCAAGTTAAGTCCGATATCATGCCGGGCCAGCGAGGCATGTTTCACGGCACGCGATGAACAGGCAGTGTATGTTTCCATGTTTTTTTCTTTCTTTTGACATTTGGACTCGAAAATATTTCAAAATACGGTTCGCTATATGGCAAAAAAACAAGAAGCAATAACCCTAGAAAAGCTATTCATGGGGGTTTTCAGGCGGGACGGTACACCAAACCGATCGTTTCGTACCTATATCCATCCTCCTCTGTTCATGTGGTATCACTCACGTCTCTCTTGTCTCCCCTCTCACTCTCCTCACATCGTCGTCCCGAATTTACTTCTTCCTCTTCTCCTCGTGGACAATGTTGATAATCTTTTCAACAATGGAAGGATCCGAAAGCTATTCTGTGCGTTAGCATACAGGCATTCATCAATAGGTGGTTTCAAACTCACAGTCGTAACATCACCAAGCTGATCCTCCTCACCAGCCAAGATCTTGCGGAGAATTCTGCGCATAATCTTGCCGGAGCGGGTCTTGGGGAGATCAGGCACGATGTGAACGGCCTTTGGCGCGGCGAACGGTCCGATGCTCTTGCGAACCTGCATGATGAACTCCTTGCGCAAGGCGTCCGAGGCCTCGTTACCGTCCTTGAGGGCGACGAAGGCGTTGACGGCCTGGCCGGTGAGCTCGTCCGCGACGCCGACGACGGCGGCCTCGGCGATGGAGTGGTGCTCGATGAGCGCGGCCTCGATCTCGGCGGTCGACAGGCGGTGGCCAGAGACGTTGACGACGTCGTCGACGCGGCCGCGGATCCAGTAAAAGCCCTCGTGATCACGACCGGCACCGTCACCGGTGAACTAGGGTCATTGTCAGCCAGTGTACAACATTGTCAAATAGGAGGCGAGACTCACGTAGTAGCCTGGGTAGACGTTCAAGTACGTGTCCATGTAGCGCTTGTGGGCGCCCCAGACGGTGCGGGCCATACTGGGCCATGCCTGCTTGAAGGCCAGCACGCCCTCGACATCGTTGCCGTGAATCTCCTCGCCGGAAACGGGGTCGATGATGGAGGGCTCGATGCCGAAGAAGGGCAACGAGGCACTGCCGGGCTTGGTCGGCGTGACACCGGCCAGGGGAGTGATGACGTTGGAACCGGTCTCGGTTTGCCAGTACGTCTGCAATTATGTTAGTCCTGTTACATCCTCGCGTCAATGCCAGCTTCACTTACGTCTACGATGTGGGCCTCCTCCTTGCCGACAACCTCAAAGTACCACTTCCAGACCTCGGCGGCGATGGGCTCACCGACGGAGCCGAGCACTCTGAGGTGCTTCATGTCGCCCTTGACATGCTGGTCACCAGCACGCTTCAGTAACCGCAGAGCGGTAGGGGCGACGTAGAACTGGGTGACTTGGTGGTTCGCGATGATGTCCCAATATCTCGAGAAGTTGGGGTAGGCGGGCGTGCCCTCGAAGACGACGGTGCTCACACCGAGCAGCAGAGGGGCGTATACGACGTAGGTGTGTCCGGTAATCCAACCGACATCACCACCGCAGAAGTAGCGGTCGCCGTCGTGGATATCAAAGACGTACTTGCCCGTGGCGGCGGCACCAACCAGGTAGCCACCGGTGGTGTGCATAACGCCCTTGGGCTTACCGGTGGAACCGGAGGTGTAGAGGAGGAAAAGGGGGTCCTCGGAGTTGACCCGCTCAGGGGGGAAGTAAGAAGGCCACTTCTCGACCTCTTCGTGCCACCACCAGTCACGGCCCTTTGTCATGGGCACATCGGCGCCGGTGCGCTTGTAGACGAGGACGTGGGACACATCGGGGCACTGCTTCAAGGCGTCGTCGACAATCTTCTTGGTGCCGATCAACTTGCCGCCACGCTTACCCTCGTCAGTGGTGATGACGACCTTTGAGTTGCCGTCAATGACACGATCACGGAGGGAGTCGGCGGAGAAACCGGCGAAGACGACGGAGTGGACGGCGCCGATACGGACGCAAGCGAGGAGGGCAATGATGGCCTCGGGAATCATGGGCAGGTAGATGGCAACGGTGTCTCCCTTGCGCACGCCCATCTGCTTCAGAACCCAGGCGGTGCGTGAGACCTCGCGGAGCAGCTCGCCATAGGTGACATTGCGGCCTTCGCCAGGCTCGTCGGCCTCGTAGATGATGGCAACGCGGTTGGGGTCCTTGAAGGCGTGACGGTCGACGCAGTTGTAGCAGGCGTTGAGCTGACCCTCAACAAACCAAGCGCTATCACCGCCGGCCAGGGAACCGGAGTAGACGGTCTGGAAATCGCTGAACCAAGACAGGAGCTCGCGGGCTTTGGTGCCCCAGAAGGCCTTTGGGTCGGTGATGGATTCCTTGTACAACTTTTGGTAGTCCTCGAGACCTGCAGCAGGGGAGAGGAAGGGGGAGCTCCGGTCAGCCAATGAAGAGGGGAGGAATTGGGGTAAAGAGGGGAAGATGGCTTACTGCTCAAGTGGGGCTTGCTGGGGTGCTCTGCGGGAAGGAGACAGAATTGTTAGCCCAAAATGTCCAATCAGTAGCTCCGAATTGCGCTGCCCCTCCTTCTTTCTCCCATGGGAGGTACAAAGTACTTGATGGGGATCCATAGGGTTGACCACAGTAACCAGTAACCACAACCCCCCTGCAGCCACCATGGGCAATCTCCAGTGCCCCTCACGCGACTTTCGGACGGCAACAGGCCATGGAACTGGGTCTGACTCTTGGGTGTCTGGGTCTGGAATCCAGCTTCTGCAAATCGGCGGCGCACTTACTGTCAAGCATCTTTTGGGGGGGATCTGTTGGGATTCAAAGTTAGCCATGGTGATTCTCCCAACAAGCATGCAAATAAAGCCATTTGGCGGAAGCGAGAGCAGTCAGGTTTGCGTTGCGCTCGCCCAGAGAACCGTGTAAATGCGGTTGAAAGGGTGAGGACGCAGACGCAGACGCTCGGTGCTGTTTGGCGCGAGGGACCAAAAGTAGACCAGAAATGGAGCTAGGAAATTGGGGTTCTGCTCGGGCTTACGGAAGGTATCAACGAGGTGGGCCTCGGCGACCACGGGGGCCTTTTGTGGCTCTGCGGCATCGGTCATTGTGGCGGCGGGGTGGTTTATGTGTGTGTGTGCTGCGTGGGTGCGTTTGTGTGTATTGTGTGCTGTTTATGAAGCGATGCGGGGTACTTTGTGCAGGCTGGTAGAGGTTCTGTCGAGCTTCGAGAGATCCGCTGGCGCTGCTAAGCTGTGAGAAATCGTGCGACAATCGTCCGTCTCTGCCGTCCTCGTCGTAAGAGAAGCAGTCCTGCTCGTGCAGTAATGATGGGAGGTCGCGCGCAAGCTGGGGTCGGAACTGGCGCAACTCTCCACAAGTCGAGCGTCGAGTCGCGTAGTGTCCTAGATAGGCGTTGCTGCAAAGCGGGTAGCGGCAGCAGAGAAAACAAGTCGACGTCCCAATGGGTGGTTCCCTTGAATCCTGTCCTCGTTGTGTTTGCTTTATGCGTATGTAACTGAGAGGGGAGATGTCCCAGAAATGTAGGAGCAATCGGAGTTGGGTTGTGGAAGTGAAGAGAAGAGGAGGAGTAGGAGGAATTGGGAAAGACGAAGAGGATGTGAGTCGTAATTAAGAAGACCAGCTCTCCAGGTGGCCGAGCCGCGAATTGGACGGGGGATGGGATTGCTTTTAATGGACGAATGGGGAATTGGTACTTGGACTGGGAACGTCTGGTAAACGTGGACTCCCACTCCGGGCACGTCGACCGACAACTTGAGCCGGAGGCGCTGTTCGGGACCTGGGACGGTGCACCGCGTCAAGCTGGAGAGCTAAAAGGAAGCTTCCTCGTAACGACACTAGCCACTCACTTACTGCTCGGTACCGTACTCCGTACCTTGCCTTACCTTACACATACATCCCCGTACATACATAGCTTCAGTTGACAGTCACTACAAAAGTCTCACAGTACCAAGTCACTCTCAAACAGCATCTCCGTCAGCCCAAGGTCCCAGATTTGGGCATTGTGCGGCGTGTCAGTGAATACAGCCAGGTCTCCATCTACAAGGAGCCCCACCCACGGTACGGAGCACATTCACGGATCATGGTACGCTGCAGCGCAGGCCGATGATGTTATGGAGAAAAGGGACAAGCCATGCGGAAAGGGAAACTCCTTCAGCCCATCCCTTGGCCTCCATTGGTCATCATTTGCCATGGCACCCCGCAATCCCGTCCGCTTCCTGTAGCCTGTAGGCGGGCTGTGGCTGGTCCATCTCCGTACTCTGTACCGACGTACCGTTACCGCTTGGCCGGGGGTTGAGCTGCGTCTTTCCTTTCCTTTGCCCCGAACCACCTGCGAACCCTCCCCTTCCCTGCAACCCCTCGCGTCTAACCCAGCTCCCAACACCGCGCAGACCTGCATCGGCCAGTCAAAGACGAGACGAATGTACCTTTTGACCTTTCTCCCCAGAGCCCAAGGATGCCAAGCTACCCGTCTCCAAACTCGCCAAAGGAGCCCGCCAGCTCGCCTGCCGTCCGCGCCTGGATGCTCCTGGGCCCGTCGGTTGGTCTTGGTCTGGGGGAGGGGAAGGGTTTCCGCGCTAATGAGAGACAAAAAAGACACAATTGGACCTCGCAGCTGTGCCTTGTAAGTACTATACCAAGTATCCGTAGCTCGTCTGAATGCGACGAACTCTATCCGCCTACCGACCAGATTCTCCCGTCGACCGGCCGAGCAAATTGAACGCCCAATGACCCTGGCCCTGCTCGTGATCCATGGTAGCCTGTTATTGGGATGACGGTGACGACGTCCAGGAGCCTTCTCATAGTCTTGCGCTCATGTGTACAGGTGACGATCCATTCGCTTTCACACCATTTGCGCCAGGGAGCTTGTCTTAAAACGGGGCATCGCGTGTCAATCAGTGTCGGTACTGAAGGTATCTCCTGCCCGTGCTTGTAAATAGCCTGTATAGATACCCTGACCGCCTAAAATCGGCCCTATGATATATATTCATCGATTTACCATCGACCATGTCACTTCATCAAAGCAGGAGATATTGTGAGCCACCGTCTTGGTGGAGCTTTCTTCTTGCACCGTGGCTGTGAGTGTCGACATCTCTCCTGGTCTTCTGTCTCGGTTAGTGGCCTGTCTTTTCGTGTCCTGGCCTGAACTCGCCGAGAATGCGCCAGTGGTATAAGTGGCGCCCATCACCCGACTTCTTCGTCCATCATCACCTTGGTTGCTTGGGTGGCCGAACCAGACCGAGGACAACCGGAAGCTCCAAGAATTTGTCAATGCGGCAGACTGGTCTCCCGACGCTTTGCTGTCAAATCATTTTGGCGTCAAGCGAACGAGGCACCAAAGCTTGCCCCTCACCTGCCCAGCGTTCCCCGCACTCTTCTTCCCCAGCGGCGTCGAGTTTGCGCCTCATAGGTCTCCTACCTACTCCTAGGCTGACCGCATTGCGCCGCTATTCAGGAAGCCATGCGGCTGTCGCCCAGCCAAGTGTGCGCCAGCCGAGGACGATGGATGCTGATCACGGCGCGCGACCCTTGAGTGCCGTGGTGTTCCGGCCTCCGTGATTGGCCATGACCCCAACGATGACATATTGATGATTGTGACCTTTGGCTTGGCTCCCGCGACTTCTTGACGACCTTTGCAACGACCATATCAACACAGGTGCTCTCAAAGGCAATGATGTTGTGCTTCAAACAAACGCATGCCCGGTTGTATCGTATCGGAGCATCCAACGGGAGGTAACTTCAGTAAAGTCGATAATTGAGCGGTCCCAGGGCTCCGCAGGCCCCGCTGTTCCTCGTAGGCAATTCGGGGTCTGGCATTGGGTCGGGATTCAACAAAGTCTCGCAGATTCCGGGGTCGTAATCCACCACACCTGCAGTCGCAATTTGCAACTGTCTTCTTTCTCCTTGCAGATTGTGGGTAATCTTTCAGGCTGCGCAGTGCGCACTCGCGCTTGTTGCCGATTGTCCTTCGGAAGAGAAAAGATGCCCCCGAACCCACTGTGATGACTGTCGATGACTGCAGTCCTATCATGCGGCATCTCCGACGTCGGCTGCGGTCCACAGAATAACCTATGAAGGCTGCCAAAGTACTCCGTACGTAGTACATTGGTACGACGAATAGCAGCATCCACTTGGGCGATCTGTTCTCCATGATACTAGAATTGTATCGGAGCTATCATGGCCGCCGTCGAGGCCGCCGCCAGTTGGGGTACCAAGTAACCTCCATCTGAAGTTGCAGGCAGCATGAAGAGGTTGGTTGTCGTATTGCTGCAGCATGGCATAGGCCCGTAGGCAAATGGAGGGGCACATCTGTACTAGCACCCTGCAGGCAGAAGAAAACCATTGATAGAAATTGCTGGTGTAGCGAGTGGTGGTGTGCGTGTGTGGTTGGAGGGGTCAAACGGAAGTCCCGCTCGTCCTTGCGCAGGTTAAAGAGAGGAAAAGAGAAGCCCATGGATTGCTTGTAAGTGGATGCCATCCTCTGATGTAACACACAACAGGCAGGTGCTGTGTGCTGCCTGTCTTACCTAAGGCACCTGCCTCATATTTTTGTGTTTGTACCTGGCGCCTGGCGTTGTCTTCTGGAAAGTGGCTTGCCTCATAACAAGAGCCCTTTCCTCCAAAGAGGTTACCAAAGGGTTGGTTCCTGTCGAATCTGTGAGAATGATCGAATTGAAGAGATTCACGTTCCAGCTAGCAAAGTTTCTCCAGCACCAAACGTGGCATGATGGTCTCCTGCAGTTAAACACCTCGCCTCCGCGTTTTCCCCTCAGAACCCTTTCACCCAACCCTGGACTCCCCAGACAGCTCACAGACTTCCCGCATTTTACCCCGTGGGCACCCGGATATCCCATGCCCACCAGTCGAAGTACCTCAGTGAAGTATCGATACACAGGGGCAAGCGCGCACCCGTGCTTGTGATGCGCTGTTTTAGTCGTGCTGCGTGCTGCCATTCCAGAAGGCCGGGTCCCTTGCCCTTCCTCACATTAGGTACCCCCCCCCCCCCCCTGCTCCGTTGTTCTTACGTTGCAGCATGTGTGAGACTGGTCCCAACCTAACCTTTCCCTGCTCATCCGGGTCAGCCCACCTCCCGCCGTCTCATAGGATGGACGAATGGAAGTCGTCTTGGCATACCCGACACCCGCGGGGGAAGGCTTGGGCAAAACGCCATCCCGCCGTCGATGCCGCCGCATCTGTACATAAATTGTGGCCCGGCAAGGAGGGCTGGAGGGGTCGTCCTTCTTTACGGGAAACCCGGGCGAAGGATCCTCTCACATCTACGCAGTAAGCGATTTGTGTGGAGAAACACAGGGTACGGATTACCTGTCCGTATCAATGAGCCGAAAAAGTGTTGTTGCTTCAACCTTTGGTCGGGGTCTATTCTGGAAATCGGAGATACTCTCAAACGGGCCATTTGGGATAAATCACCGCGAGTCCTCCGAGCCTCGTGCGGCAGAATATGGATCTCTGGCATCCCCATATAAGCATGTGGGAATTTCGTCCTTTCTGTTGGGAAACTCCTGATGACAGATTGTTGAGTGCAAGGGAAAAAAAAAATAAGAGGAGCCGTCCTAGCCGCTTGCGCGGTGACCTATCAGACTTACGCAATAGGTTCCGTGAGGCAGCATCGTCGCCCAAGCACCCAAGATACAGGAACTGACATTCTATCCTCGGTACCCTGGTCGGTCATCCTGACCCGAAGTATGGGCCCTGCCGTGAGGCTTTGCCGATCGATCATAAGTTACCACCTGCGTGCACTGCGGCTCCGAAAGCTCTTCGAGACATTGGACGCTCGACTACAATCATAAATATCCAATCGGACTGACGGCGAAACATATGAGAGACCCAGCTGGTTGGGAACCGCTAGGTGGACTTGTTTGCATTTTGGCACTGGCCTGGCGTGCCCGGTAGTAGTAGAAGAAGTATGTGCCCCCGACATGTACCGCCTTGAACCCCTAAACGCCTCCTTTTGTATTATCCATTTTGCTCACAACTCCATGCTCATCAAGTACATCTCCATGATCCTCATGAACTTGGCCACAAACGCTTCCAGGTGGAAGATGACCTTCGTGCCCATTCTGATCCGGTGCTCGTAGAATGCCGACCACTTGATCACCTCCGCCTTCAGGGCGTCGTCGATCAACGCAATGAGCTTGAAGGTGAGCGTCTTGAGAATCGTGGTTGGCGGAATGCAGTGCGTGAGAAGGTCGTATAGCTTTGCTCGCACTTGGAGAATCCGTGCCGGCGTGTGCTCATCGACAATCTCCCTCGCTATCTGGCTAATGAGTGCCTCCCAATCTGGCGGCGGGATTGGTGTGCTATCCGTGACTTTCTCACTGTTGGCTTGTTAGTTTCTGATTCTGCAAATGCCGTGCAAAAGTGTCCTACTTTTGTGCGTGGACAGCCTCGTACATGAGCAGAGCTCGTCGCAGATTCCTGCCACTCTCCTGCGCTATCCTCATATGCAAGCCCTTCACCATGGGCCAGTTCTCCTTCTTCGCTGACACTGCCAGGACCTCACAAATTTGCTCGTGGGTTGGTGCAGCTACTCGGACCAGCAGTGTTCTCGATCGGATAGGGGCGATGATGTTTGCCGTCGAATTGGCTAGGAGGATCAATCGTAGGTTAGGAGAGTATTTCTCCATCGTGCGACGCAGCGCAGCCTGCGCATCTCTGGTAAGGTGGTCTGCCTCATTGATGACCACAACCTTGAATCTTTGCTTTGCCGACTGGTCGACCTGTTGTGTCTGTGCCACCTCCTTCAGCAGGTCCTGAACGACAACTCTGTCGTAGTTTCCGACGTCTGACGGGGTGATCTCGAGGTGGTAGTTTGACGCGACAATGTTGAATTCGAGCTTGCGGTTACTCGACGTCTGGAAAACACGCGCATCGATCTTGATCTTCTCTACACCGGGACCGTACAGCTCCTTCAGTGTGGCGACGATGCGTGTCTTCTTTCCAGCGCCGGACGGACCGTATACCAACAAATGGGGGAAATCTCCGCTCTGAGCCTGCGTAATGTGTGAGCAGCTGCCTGGGAGAGAGCAGATTTGGAGCTTCCTACCAGGGAGCCGAGACGGTCTGAAAGCTCCTGATGGTATGTCAGAGCATCCAGTGACCTTGGTCTATGTTTATCGACAATGAGCGCCATTTTGATTGCTGTGATGTGGAAAACGCCGTGTTGAAGACCTGAAGTTGGCTGGCGGAGCGGGCTGCAGAGCGTGGGACTTTCTGGTGATGCGCTCTGAAAGAAGACGCGTTCGCGTTAAGTGGGAAATATCGAGGCGTGGCTGGTGGTCTAGGCCCGTGCCCTCAAGCCACAACATGGCAGCTTTGAGGCATACACCACTACTTGGCGCATAGTAACGACCCTCGAATTCACTCGACTTAATCAAAACTAATGCGTGCAAAAAACATTTTTCAATGATCATTCCACGGTAGACTAATGATGAGTGTGAAAGGTATTTCCTTTATTTGTACAGCCGCAATGACACCTCCCCATCTGGTAAGGTCATCTATAGTACAGCCACTCCATGAACTTGAGATTGCGCTTAGCCTATCTCAAAGTTAAGAGTGGTAAATGTTACAATCATTTTCATCCAAAACTCTAGGGCGCTGCAGACGGCGTAGTGGTAGACGCCGCGCTGGTGGGCTTGCTCGTTGCCTCAGCCAGCAAGTCTTCAGGCGCAATCGCCTTTCTTGGTCTCTTCAGATCCTCCAACGTAACACCGTTCTCAAGCTTCGTAATACCAACAACAGGAGCCGCTCCCTTGTGTACAAACTCCCATTGACCTAGCATTAAGTCAGTCTTGGCTGTGCTTCACGCAATTGGGAATGTACTCACCGGGCAACTTGTTACCCGCCAGACGGAAGGCATCCTTCGCAACAGCCTCGTGAAGCATTCCTCTGATCTCGAAAACGATCTGGTTGACAGCAACACGCGCCGCCCAATGATCGAAAGAACCCTTTCCCTTACCCATACGCATCTAGTCCGGGAATCAGCACTTGACTATCACCCATGATTCCTCAACGTCCGCATTACCTCGTTACCAGACACATAGACACCAACGTTGCAGCACACTCTCTTGTACAGCCGGTACTTTTGACCACGTAATCTCATCTTAATCGTATCTTCAGCGTTCTTGAGTTGCTTGGCGCTGATTCTTCGGTGGTGATCCTTCATTCGGAGACCGTAGTCGCCCCAGATGACAGTCGTGCCCTTGGTCGATCCTCCCGTAGCCACGCGAGGACGTCCTTTCATCATCTTCTTCGTTCGGTCGATCGAGGGTTCGAGCCATGTGCCCTGCGCTGCAGGTGTCGTGGAAAACGGGCGAGCATCGCGGAGGATCTGGGATGCGACCAGCGGCTTCGTCAATTGAGGTCGGATCGCGGCCCTAAGAGGGCTGACTGTCGGCGTCGTAGATATTCTGAGGCCTTGGAAGGCGCTGAGCAGCGCCGTAGGAGCGGTGGGCCTCATGTTTGCGACTTGCCGATGAACGTCGTTGATGATGCGATCTCCAAAAAAATGTCCCTAGCTTCACGAGAGCTTAGGTGTGGCTTGGGTGGCCTGAGATGTTGGGCGATAATTTTGCTGAGGCTTTGCCTGGAGCTGCTGCGCCACATGCACTCTAAAGTGAACTGACCGGGGTCACGGACGTCGCGTCACTTTCGCGTAGCAACTGGAAATCCATTACGTGCACGCTTCTCGACTTGACGCCAGGCACGGCGACCTCGATTGGTCTTTTCGTCTGTCAACCTCCAACTTCCCTCCAGGCAACAGCAGCCCAACTTTCGATATAAAATTGTCGCTGCTTTCTACAATCATTCAACGAAAAACAGGTGACTGTACAAAACACAATGCCTGATATTAGGTCATTCTTTGGGCCGAAGGGAGGCGGGCCCCCGAAGCCACTGCCAAAAAAGGTCGAGGAGCCCCCAAAGGCCCGAAGGGGCAGGAAAGTCATCGAGGACAGCGACGATGATGCCGACCCTACTCCTGCGCCGTTAGTCGATTCCGAAACCCTGCAGTTGAAGACCAAGCTAACTCGTCCTAGAAAGCCGGCAGCGAAAGCTGCTGTGAAGAAGAAGGCTAAGTACGCGAACTATATTGCCCTCTTCGTCGATTGCTTCTAATTCTGTAGCAGAGACGAGGCTACTAAGGGAACCGAGACCACAGCCAGCGATTACTTTGCATCATCCAAATCTTCCAAGACAACTAAGCCTGCACCCGCCGCAAAGCCAGACCAAGCAACTAAAGTGAAGACCGAAGTCGAGATCAGGACCAGCCCACGCAACAAGAAGACTGCTGCGAAACCCGTAGAAGTAACGCCCAAGAAGCGCGCCGCCAGGACATACACCAAAATCGAGTCCGACGACGATGCCGATGCATACAAAGACGAAGACGACGAGGATGACGATGACATCTTTGCGGCTGATGTGAAGGGTCGCAACAAGCGAAAGACCGACGACTATGCGGAGGACGAGAGCGACGAGGATATTCAACCAAAACCGAAGCGTGTAGCCTCACGGAGTGCCGCCAATGGCACCCCAAGCAAGAGCACAAGGGCAGCAGCTGGCACAAAGAGGCGCAAGACTCCTGACGAGGACGAGGAGGAAGAGGAGGAAGAGCAGCCGCCAAAGAAGAAGGCCCCTGCTAAGCCACGCGCTCCCAGGGCTAAGAAGGCAGATGAACCTGAAGATTCGGCTTATCAGTCGATCCTCGACAACATCCCCACGGTCCGCCCTCCGACACCTCCACCCCAAGACCCAAATGCCCCCAAGTTTGACTGGAGGAAGAATGCCGGCGGTGGCGGAAACAGCGCGGCTGTGCCTGCTAATGCAGGTGCCGCGGAACTGCCCGAAGGCGAGGATGAATGTCTCTCTGGATTGACATTTGTCTTCACCGGTGTCCTTCAAACCATCGGCCGTGAGGAAGGTCAGGCGTTGGTCAAGAAGTACGGTGGCAAAATCACTGGAGCACCAAGTAGCAAGACCAGCTATGTCGTCCTGGGAGACGATGCAGGACCCAGTAAGCTGAAGAAGATCAGGGACATGAACATCAAAACCATCAACGAGGAGGGCCTGTTCGAACTCATCAGGAAATTGCCTGCCTATGGCGGCTCCGGCAAGGGTGCGGAGAAGGCGCGCGAGAAGAAGAAGAAGGACGAGGAGGCTATCAAAATCCAGGCAATGGAGATGGAGCGAGAAGAGAAGGCCCGGAAGGCTGCAGCAGAGAAGGCAGCCAAGCAAGCAGCCGCCGCTCGGGGGACTACAGTTGCCCCTGTCCCTACAGCAGCTCCAGTGCAGCTGTGGACATCAAAGTATGCGCCGACGGCACTCAATCATATCTGCGGCAACAAGGCGCAGGTCGAGAAGATCCAGGCTTGGTTGAGGAACTGGCAAAAGGCACGCAAGTACGACTTTCAACGGCGCGGTGCAGACGGTATGGGTGGCACACGAGCTATCATCATCTCTGGTCCGCCCGGCATCGGCAAGACGACTGCAGCACACTTGGCTGCCAAACTCGAGGGCTTCGATGTCATTGAGAGCAACGCCAGTGACACTCGCAGCAAGAAATTAGTCGAAAACGGTGTCGCTGATATCATGAACAACACATCACTTCTCGGCTTCTTTGCTGGAGACGGCAAGAAGGTTGACGGAGAAAAGAAGAACATCGTGTTGATTATGGACGAGGTCGACGGAATGTCCGCAGGAGATCGCGGTGGTGTTGGAGCCCTGGCTAAGTTCTGCAAAAAGACTGAGATTCCCCTCATTCTCATTTGCAATGAGCGGAAATTGCCAAAGATGAAGCCGTTCGACTTCGTCGCCATGGATGTTCCTTTCAGGCGCCCGACGGTAGAACAGGTCCGGTCCCGTATCATGACAATATGTCATCGCGAAGGCCTCAAGCTACCTGTGCCCGTTGTCGACGCCCTCATCGAAGGCAGCAACAAGGATATTCGGCAAATCATCAACATGATCTCCACCGCCAAGCTCGACCAAGCATCGATGAGCTACGACAAAGGCAAGGCAATGACCAAGGCATGGGAGAAACACGTCGTTCTCAAGCCTTGGGATATTTGTCAGAAGATGCTCGCTGGTGGGCTGTTCGCTCCCGCCAGCAAAACTACTTTGAATGAAAAGATCGAGCTATACTTCAATGACCACGAGTTCAGTTACCTGATGATCCAGGAAAACTACCTGCGCTCAAAGCCAATGGCACTGAACAACAGAGGCTACAACAAGAGGGAAGAGAATCTGAAGTACCTCGAATTGATAGACCAGGCGGCGGAGAGCATCAGTGATGGTGATCTGGTTGATCGAATGATTCACGGGCCTCAACAGCAATGGAGTCTCATGCCTACTCACGCCGTTTTCAGCACGGTTCGACCATCGAGCTTCGTTGCTGGCCAGCTCATGGGCTCCAACTTCACCTCCTGGCTCGGCAACAACAGCAAGACTGGCAAACTCGGTCGATTTGTCCGTGAGCTACACTCACACATGCGGTTGAGGTCATCTGGAGACGCCAATGAGATTCGCCAGCAATATCTGCCTGTCTTGTGGGATCAGATGATACGCCGGTTGTCCGTCGAAGGCAAGGAATCTGTCGACGAGATTATCGAGCTGATGGACAGCTACTACTTGACACGAGACGACTTCGATGCGATTCAGGAGCTCGGCGTTGGTCCGCAAGCTGAGGGCCGGGCTGATATCGAATCCAAGACAAAAGCGGCATTCACGCGAACGTAAGTACTCATGCTTCTTGCTATTCAGTATCAGTGCTAACAAGTCTCCAGCTACAACGCAATGTCTCATCCTATCCCTTTCTTGAAGGCCAGCAATATCATGGAGCCGAAGAAGGTGGCGAAGGAGGCTCCGGATCTCGAAGAAGCTATCGAGGAGGACGATGATGCCGATGTTGCAGAACCTGCCGATGCGGGCGAGGAGGACGAGGACAAGATTGACTTGAAGAAGGACAAGCTAATCAAGGCGCCCAAACCGAAGGCTAAGAGAGCAACGAAGAAGGCCAAAGCAGGTGATGACGATGACGACGAAGATGCAGATGCCAAGCCTAAGAAGGGTAGGCCCAAGGCCAAGGCAACGACTGCCAAGGGAAAGAGCAAGAAGTAATGGCATAATGGTTGACAAATATCGATGTAGGGGCATCTTTCTTCCATGGGAGGAGCACGTCAGTGTTCACTGGGTTTGAATGAGGCAATCATGCACCTGTAGAATTATGAGGTTGTAAACAGGAATACCTGCTGTTCTTTAAACACCTATCATCAACGGCTAGATGTTGTATGAAGGCGTAAATCAATCACCAAATGATTTGAGAGATGTACATTCTGAAAGGTAAATAGTGTAGTTTGTTGTGAGCGACAACGACTGTGTAAGTTAATATGTGAGGAACCAGACTTGAGAATGACAGCTGCGGTTTGACAGCTTCATGAAAGGCAACTGCGAGTATTTGGTAGACAACGTTTTTGTGCAGCCCATCTATGGCCAGTGAATCCTTGAGGAGAGCTTCCTGCCAAAATAGGTTGTTCTCGAACCTTTGCTAGAATCCCCCGAACACACGCATCACCATCAGTACAAGGGATCATGTCAACCATACACAAAACTTGAAAGGCACCCAACCAAGCTCCGAGTCCTTCATTTTTCAGCATTCCAAATTCGAAGTGAGTACCTCTTGATGGCTTCGGTTTTTTACCTCGCCTTCCAAAAGCACGAAGCTAATCCGAACCGTTCGTTGCGCAGTCCGCCATATCAAATGATTCCTATCAGTTACAACGCTTACGTCCAACCGGCCGTCCATGATGTCGAGCGCTTTGGATCATCCCGCTTAGCTGTCGACACGGCTTCAAGCTCCAAGATGATGAATGAGAAGGATCAAAAGATACCCGGGTCCAAGAAGACGTTCCGGACTGCCGCAAAGGCCTTGAAGGGTGAATATCTCCTCCAACCCTAGACGCTTTGCCTTCCTGATCTCACGATCTCTCGCCTCAACCACCCTCTGTTCATCAATTTTCCGATCCTTCCTCTTTTTTCTTCCCATCGAGTCCTGCTGAGCTTCATCCATCTTTCAATCTCGAGTGTTTGAGGCATTCGTTTCTTCGGACATACTCGAAGACACCCGATTGCCCTTCCTTCCCATACTCGGATCCTCGTTACCAGCATTTTTTCATCGCTTCACAGTTGCTCATTATCTTCACCGCAGGTCTGGTATCGAAGGCAGCCTTCTCTCTGAAGAAGTCAAAGAGCTTCACTACTCTTAAGCGCCTGTCGAGAATGTCTTCTCGACGTGACCGCGGCCAGCACTCGCGCTCCAAGTCTGGTAAGTCATCCGACCTGCTCATCGATCTTTGGGCTGCTTTCGTCGCAAGTACGAACCGTTTCCTGACGAAAAATAATAATAAATAGCAAACAATATCGACACCGCGGGTACCCTCGAAGATCACAATCCCCATCGCCTTTCCATCATCGAAGAGGCGTCTCGCGAGTCGCGTGAGTCGTTCGACGACATCTACGCTGCCAACATGTACGATGAACAGGGCTTCCTCAGTGAAGATCACGAGGACATCTACGATCTCGACGAGTTCGAGATGATGAACTCCAATGTCGGACCCCACGGTCAGGACAATGGAGCCCCCACCCACGACACGGTCTTGTACGGCAACTGGGAGCAAGACAACAACTTGCACGAGTTCAACCGTTCTTCGAGTGAGTCTTTGAATTGCCATCTTCTCAACTCTTTCTCTAACTTCTTGAACACAGGCCCGGAGACGGTCGTTTTTGACCATGCCCGCTATGCCGGTGTCAACCTCTGGGAAGTGAGCATCAGCACCGATTCGGAGTCGTACTCGCGTTCGGTTCATGAAGGTATCAAGTGCTCCGCGTTGTTCTGCTGCTTCCACTAGGTTCTTAGATAGCACATTCTGGTTTCAATGAGATACCTTTCTGCTCTTACTGACATCATCTACCTACTCCCTGCCTGGGCCTCGTAGAATTTCCTGTTAGCTCTTTCCCTTATATGGATGTCCTAACTAACCGAGTTATCCTAGTTCCTGATCCCAGCATCAAGATCGAAGGAATCCCCACGACCAAGGACTGGTCCATCTTCCAGAGCGAGCTGGTCGACTACGGTCCCGATGAGCCCAGCCCTCAGCTCCCCGGCTGCTCGGCCGGCCACCCTTTCGCCAAGGAGTGGTTCATGACAGACTCCATGATGAAGGCCTACGACGCTATCCGCGGCTCCATGAGGGATGCGAACGACCCGCTGCGATCGTGGATGGAGGTCAAGGCTTTTGAGTCTGCTCTAAGAGCGAAGAGAGATGCTGCCAAGGTTGCGGTTGACGGCCCTTCTTGCCAACATGACGAGAAGCTAGACGTCAAGGGAAAAGGAAGAGCTGCCGATGGCGGCGGCTTCGCTCGCAGTGAGCACGATGAGAAGCCCGAGGGCAAGGGAAAGGAGAGGGCTGTCGACGGTGGCGGCTTCGTACGCGGCGAACCCCAGAAGTGAGTCTCCGTCCGAGGATGTGCCCTCCTAATCGCCAGCCTCCTAACCACAGTTCTATCAGTCCTTCCAAGACGCGGCCGTCTCCTGTCAAGGGAACCGCGACCTCAGGCTTGAGAGCTGACGCGAAGCGAGAGAAGGATGACTACGTCAAGTGAGTTTTCGTGTGAGCAGTTGCTTCTTTCAGACTTATGACGGACTGTGTCTAGGATGCTCGATGACACCCATTTGTTGTCTGCCGAGTACGCTCCGGATACCGCGGACAGAAAGGGAGCCTACAATGTCCCTCGTCCCAAATATCTCCACATCGCGCCCGATTTCGAAGATTTCAGATTCGAGGATTACCTCCCTCCGGTCACCGAGGCCCCTGAGTCCTCTTTCAAGGGACTGCTCCCCTACAAGCTGCCTTACGATCCGGACCGCAACTTTGGTAAGTCTGGCTCAAGTCATAATTTGCGCCGACACTGACACATGTTAGTCGAGGACTACGAAATCTCGGACGACGAGGGTGATCCCGAGACTGGGAGAATCTCCCCTTGTACTTTCCGCCTTCTGGCCGAGGGATGTGCTGAGCAGAACACTGACGGAAAGGTCTTTATGGCTGAGGATGTGAGTTTTACTGCATCTCAGTTCTAAGCAACCCACGGCTGAATAGGTTTTAGGCCCAGCGTATGCGTCCCGAGACTTCCATGGACGATGACTCTCCTAGAGAGAAAGCCCCTGATCGTCTCCTCATGGAGTTCGAGACCCAGAGAGACATCAACGACAATGGCTATCTCACGCCCTGCTACTCTCTTGACTCCGAGCCTTCCATCATCTACCTGCCTGCTGGTAACTAGCACAACAACTTCCTTCAGAAAAGCATCAAACCACTGACTCTTGCACAGGCGTGACCTTCCAGCACAAGATGCGCAACTGGTGGTTCGGCCTCTTCGACCGCATGAACCCAGAAGTCGCACGTAACTTCCGCAAGATTGAGTATCACGAGCAAGGCGACCCCCCGATCGCGCCTCCCAAAGCTGCCACCGAGGATTCGACGACCACTGCCGAGCCCAGCGGCCCCTGGGCCCAGCACTACACCCACTCCGACATCGAGACGATCCTCAACACCCCCGGCGCCCGCAAGGTAGCCGGCGTCGAGGCGGCGAACGCGGCCGAACTCATCACGCAGCGCCAGAAGACCATCCTCCGCTGGAAAACCCGAGACGAGGAGGTCACCCGCGAGAACGCCTTCCTGCGCATCGACGTCGGTCAAGCCCAGAAGGAGCTTCGCGAGATGCGCCTGTCCGTCGACCACGTCCTGGCGCAGAGGGCCGCCCAAGAGCGCGCCGATCGCGAGCGTGCAGCGCGGGAGCTCAGAGAAGCTTGGGAGCGCAAGGCTGCGTGGGAGCGCGCTGAGAAGGAGAGAATCGCCGCAGAAGAGCTCGCCGAGAAGGAACGCAAGGCCGCCGAGGAGCTTGCTGAGCGAGAGCGCAAGGCTACCGAGGAACGCGCCGAGCAGGAGAGAAAGGCTGCCGAGGAGCTCGCCAAGCGCCAGAAGCACGAGAAGCGGGTGCTGCGCCGTGTGTCGGCGCACTTGCACGACTTGCGCTACGAGGTTCAGGCCAAGTTCCACTCCCTCAAGGATGCCGAGGATGAGAACGAGAAGATGAAGAAGGAGCTGGTTCGTTGCAAGACCCGGATCACGGAAGAGTGCTCGAGAGCCAACTTGTCGAGTCCCGATGAGGTTCGCCGGGCTGTCTCGCAGAACTTCCGGGACAAGATGGCGGCCTTGGACCTTTCTGGTTGAAATCTGGAATGAGCTTGCAGTGGGAACTGGTCTATGACACATTCGACTGTTCTTGCGATATTCTAGCTTCTATATTGCTATGTTCAGCATGGCTCTTTATTGCCTGTTGCTGATGGGTAAGTCCTAGGATTTGGATTGTGATGAGTCCGCCGAGCTTACGAAAACGCTAGGACAAAGCTATATGGCTGTCGCGATCGGTGACGATTCGACTTTTCTCGACAACTATAATGGCTTTAATCTTCGAGTCCTGGCTTCTCAGTCTTTTGACAAGTTTGTTATGAGGAAACAATTAGGTACTGCCAAGCTACCATCATCAGTGTCGAGTGGGACCATTGACTAACACCACGTCGCAGGTTGGGGGAACGCACAGTTCTTGACGAACTCTTCCGATCTTGTCCCCCTTTTCCAGATTGCTTTCCACGAACGATAATTTGGGTCATGATGCGTCCGTTGTTTGAGTACGATACTCTATGTTGAGATTACTGGAAGATGTTGGATTGGCCTAAGAGCCGAGTGCGGCCTTACGACATTGTCAGTGTAAATAGGTAGTGCCAAAGTATTTCGTTCAACCTTAATCGGTTGTGGTTGTGACGACCAGGATGTGATTGTGCGTGTGTAATTAAGACACAGGGAGATTGAAATCTCCTAGACGGTATGATTAAATTGTACCAGAGCTTTGAGAAGAATCATCAGACCCCAAAACCCCTATCCGGGGTCTATATATACACAAACGTATCCAGATTCTATCCGTTTCTTCTTTTCATCCAGCAAAAAGGCCTTCCCATTCGCGGCCTCCTTACATTTTTTTTCCGCCATGCTATTGTCACATCATGAGAGGAGCATTATACACCGACCGGAACGCCCAGTTCGCTGTTCCGGGAATCGAGAGAATATCGTAGAACATAATGGTACAAGGGGGGCTGGTAGGTCGCCTCCGCCTCCAGCGGTCAGCCGACCAGCCCCATGGTTTTTAAAACAAGATCTTCGTAGAGATCGGGATTGTGATGCAAGAAGTTGAAGTATTGGCCTCTTAAGCGTTCTTAACGACGCCGACCTTGGCAGCGCGCATCACGCGGCCGTTGAGCTTGAAGCCCTTCTGCTGGACGTGGAAGACGGTGTTGTCCTCCTTGTCGGGCTGAGGTGCCATGAAGGTGGCGTCGTGCTCGTTGGGGTTGAACTTCTCGCCCTCGGGGTCGAAGCGCTCGATGCCGTGCTTCTTCAGCGTCGACATGAGGATGTCGTCGGTCATCTTAAGACCCTCGTACAGGTTGGCGAGGTCCTTGAGGTCACCCGACTTCTCCTCGACCTTGAGCTTCTCCTGGGGCACCATGGAGAGGGCGCGGTCGAGGTTGTCGATGCTGTCGATGAGGTCCTTGGAGAACTTCTGCAGGGCGAAGTCGCGCGCCTGCTTGACCTCGCGTTGTGTGCGGTCCTGGAGGTTACGGAAGTCGGCGATGGTGCGAAGGCACTTGTCCTGGAGAGCTGCATGTTAGAATTGGGTCTCGATCCTCGGTGTCCGAGATCGGGGGACAGAATGCGAACGAACCTTCCAGTCAGCAGCCTCTTTCTCCTTGGTCTCCAACTGCTTCTTCAGGGCAGACTCGGCATCATCGGCGGGCTTCTCGCCCTCCTTGGTGGCCTCGGTGGTCTCCTTGGCGTCGCTGTACCATCTCGCAACGGCGGGTTGCGCGGCTCGTATCCTGAAGGCAGGGGAGCTCTGGAACTGATTTTGGAAAACAGACTTGGGAGTCTGGGTGCGCATGCCGGTGCGCACTGCGCGGGAAGAGGTAGCAATGGCTTGTCTGAACATTGTGGCGGTTGTGGTGTTGTGTAAAAGACTCGGGCGGGCGAAAACGTGGTTGGAATCGAGGAGGCGATGTAGGGACTGGTCGCGTGTACGGAGAAGCTTTTAGAAGAAAATGAAATTTTATCGGAATGGCCCCAAGTGACGAATTGCCGTCCCTTGAACCCCCGGCCATGCGGGAAAGTTCGCGCCCAATCATAAGGTTCCAGACAGCTCCATCCGGGGGCGGATGAATTGAGGGACCGCTCAGAGCTTTATCGATAACACTAGCGCCAAGGCAAGGCCAACGCGCTTTCAGCAGGCGCCAGGCACGGTCGCCGCACCTTCCAATTGGTAATTCAGTGGCACCTGAGGCGGTAGTGTTCACTCTGGCTCTGGTCGCAAAAATATCCATTCAGCCTCCCCTCCACCGTGACACAATCGCCAACGTCCACCATTCAGTCCACCCGCGACCCACGATAATTACGATTGCCAAGGCGCTCTTGCTTCACGTACATACGAAATTGAACACGTTTGCCGCACTATCATCCGAATTGCATCTCAAAACCTTTGGCCGAGCTACAACTGAAAGGAGAACGGCGGCGCGATGGATTACGAGCCGATGCTGTTGGATGGCGAGTCCGGAGGACCATCGATCAAGATCTCAGGGGTATTACTTCCCAAAATCCACTTAGCTAGTGGCATTTCAGACTGACAGCCGGGCGCATCGTTAGGCTGATAACATCCACGTCAACTTTGATCTCTCGAACTGCGACCTTTCCTTCGCCAACTCGCTGCGTCGCGTTATCCAGGCCGAAGTCCCTGTGATCGCCATCGACCTGGTCGAAATCGAGGCCAACACATCTGTCCTCGCTGACGAGTTCATCGCCCATCGCCTGGGTCTGATTCCCCTACAGTCCAAGGACGTCAACAGCTTGCTTTACACCCGAGACTGCGACTGCGAGCAGTATTGCGACAACTGCAGCGTAAAGCTTACGCTGCATGCGCGATGCTCATCAGACGAGACCATGAAAGTCTACGCCAGCGACCTCATTGTCGATAGCTTCAGGCAGAACGGCACTGTAGGAAACCCTGTAATCCTCGACCCTGAAGGACAAGGCTCTTTGATTGCGAAGCTGCGCAAAGGGCAGGAGCTTAAGGTATCATGCATCGCGAAGAAGGGTATTGCAAAGGAGCATGCAAAATGGATGCCAACGTCTGCTGTTGGGTTTGAATACGACCCTCACAACAAGCTGCACCACCTGGACATGTGGTTCGAAGAAGATGCGAAGGCCGAATGGTGAGTGACTGAAATGACATGCTCCTTGAAAGATGAGAGTCGCTAATGGTAGCAAAGGCCTGAGAGCAAATATGCCAAGATGGAGGACCCCCCACAAGAGGGCGAAGCTTTCGACTACGACGCGGTTCCCGGCAAGTTTTACTTTGAGGTCGAAGGTGTGGGCAGTCTTGAGCCGGATCAGATTATCCAGGAGGGAATCAAGATCTTGCAGGAGAAGTTGGCCCTCACGCTCCACATCCTCACAGGCGAAGCAGACGACGATGGCATGGGCGACTTCGATGGACCTCGCAGTCCCAACTTGGATATGGACGGCGGCAACCCCTGGCAAGATCAAGGCTATACCACTCCTTTTAATGGCGGCAACCAGACCGCGTGGGGAGGCAACGCAACGACACCGTACACTACGACACCTTACGGCGCCTCCGGACAGTCTGGATGGAACTGAGAGAGAACAACAACAAAATCATAAAAAGGCGTTTATGTATGAAAACCACTTTGAGACATGGGGGCGGTAATGGAGTTTGCGATTTTTTGCAAAGAAGCTAGCTTGGCCATCAGCTGGCCACATTGATTCAGCTCGGGAGAGGTGGAGTTTGCCTGACGACGCGCAAAACGGAACCAATACGCACATCAAGATGCACTCCGCAGCGGCAAGAGGGGGTAGGCTTCTCGGCGTTCTGACGGCTAGACCTGAACCCAGACTGGCTTGGCTTATGGCTTGGCTTTTAGACACCCGTGACAGGGGATGACGGCGGTAGAGCAATCGTAAAATAAGATAACAGCCTGTCAAACACTCGGGCAAAGATAGGTGGGCGGGGTTCGATTTCGGCCGAGAAGGCAGCTCTTCTGCCGGACATCTGTAATACAACTCACACACAAACCTCACATGAAGCGAACATGAAATTGCTGCAAAGAAAATCAACCATATTTTTCTTTCCTGTGTATACCCTCCATTACTCCTGTCAAATGCAGCAGAGTTGCCTCTTTTTCCAACGCCTCCAAACATGGCAAGATGGTACTAGTGATGATGATGCAGCGCCAGTCTATCTAAGTATTTTAACGCTCATTCTATAACACAACACAAGCCTTTTTTGTGTGTCTATTACCCCTTGATGGACGCATCTTCACCGTTGCCGATATCAGCAACCTTTCTATAGACCTTGCGGTGCATCTCTAGGAAGACAAATGTACAGATGGTTTGTCTAGGCGGGTTGTTAGTAAAGTGTACACAAGATGTCCATCATGCAAGCAAGCGGGGAGAGGGACAAGAACGTACGGTCCGAGGCGGAGGAAACTGGGCACCCAGCCCTTGAACATCCACCCAAGGCCCTCGGCCTTGTAAATCTTGGCCAGGGTATGCGCCAGCCCCTCCTGGGTGCTCGCCGACATGACCCGCGTCTTGATGACATCAATTGGGCTCGTCACCGTGGCGGCCATCACACCAGCGAGGAACGAGGCCGTAAAGTGCGTCGTCAGGTTATCCCCCATGGGCGTGTGGCGGATGAGCATGCCCTTGAAGGTATCGTACGACGCGAGCTGCGAGGCCGTCATGGCCGCGGCGCGCATGCTGTTGGGCAGAACGCCCCTGAACCAGCTCATGATGCCTTCCTCGCGCGCCATGCGGAGCATGCCCTCGAGGGCGTGGCTGTAGTTGCGGCGCTCGGCGGCGGGGAGGGCGGCGTCCTGCTGCATGCGGACGTTGAGGACGTCGGCGGCGTTTCCCGAGATGCCGCCGACGAAGCCCGCGGCCGAGGCCATGGCGACGAGGACGGGGAAGGAGGGGGGTTTGCCGTCGTTTGCGCGGGTGGCGCGGATCTTCATCTCCTCGTAGGCGCCGAAGCGGACGGTGGAGTAGGTCATTTGGCGGAGGAGGGAGGCCGAGAGGCCGTTGTAGAGGCCTGTCACCCCGTGGTTGCGGATGATGTGGGTGAAGGTGCCGACCATGTTCTTTGGCGCGTCGGGGCGGCGGACCTGGAGGCGGACCTAGAGGAGGGTGGCATTGCGTAAGTAAGTGAGTTCTTGCTTTGGGAGCTACGTAGATGTGTCGTTGCGGTTTGCTACGATTCTTGGGAGAGCTTGGGTTTGCCTTCATGGATCGAGGGTTTCGTTCGTTGGTGTGTTGTAGAAGTGGGAGCGCATTACCTTAACTGTGAGACATTGTCAGCTCTTGGCTCACTCTGATATTTGCGATATCGCAGGCTCTCTCGCGCCATATCTCGAGATCAAGGTTGGCAGAACTTACCCAAATCCAGGGGATGGGTCACGCAGGCGGCCATACTACTGGCGCTGCCTCCGAACCAAAAAGGATACCTCAGCGACGGTTCCGCCGTCTTCTTTTGCTTCTGAGGCGCCGGCGTCGTCGCCGTAGCCGTCGGTTGCGCTTGTGACTGTTGCTTCTCCTGAACCCCCTCGACCTGGCCCAACTTCAACGGCGAGGGCTGCGACGACGACGACCCGGACGGCTCATCGGCCGGTTTACTGGCGACCATGTTGGCGGCGGCGGCGGACTGCATCGTTGCAGGGTGTTGCGCAGTTCCCTATGATAAGCTCATCCCGTTGCGGCGCAATTGAATACTGCGTCGCGAAAATGGCAAAGGCTCCGTAAGTGAAGGAGCACAAACGGACGACCTTTCTCGGATTTAACGCAAGTTATGTCCAAGATTGCCTGGTTCCCCTCTCTCTCGTGTCGGCAACTATCAGCTGGGTAGCGTGTGTTGCTGAGACGTCACTTTTCGGTCGTTGCGGTTGAGTGACGTCTTTTTTTGTTATAAAGCCGACTTCGGGGGAGAGGGTGGTGTGGTCGTGCAGGAGGCCTTTTTTTTTGGTCGCTGCTTTGGGGTAGGTATGCAGGTGGTGGGAGGAATGGAAGAAGCCGAGGAATTGGAGATCGGCTCGGTTTATCGCGAACTTTTTTTTTTTTTGCCTTAATTAACACCGATTCGGCTGAACGAGGGACGCGCTTCGAGTCGGCTCAAGGGAACGAAAGAAAAAAAGGAGATTTGCTGATTGATCAAGTCCCCTTTCAGAGGGAACCACCACCACCAACAGTCAACAACCGAACCTGCTGCTTCGATTTTTTTGGTGCGTCATTGGGCCTGCAGCGAAGCCAGGGTGCCATGCGCTAATGAAGGGCGTCTCCGGACCCTTGCTCCGGGGGGAGTCGGCAGGGTCTTGCGCCGTGTGTCCGCCCCGGGTCGCAATGCCAATTGGCTTGGCCCGTGCATCCCGTAGCTTTTGTCAGACTTCTGGTGATCGACACTTTTTCGACCAACTGCTGCGAAAGCTCCCTTTCCCTAACGGCAGCTATTGTCGCAACACTACATCGAAGCTCTACGCCTGTGATGAGCACATAGAAAAAGGGCCTTTACATCTGAACGAGGACGTTCGCAACTTCAAAATGCTCGTCCCAAGATTAGCCGGGAGGCAATTGCAAAGTTGCTTCCGTGGCGCCACCTGCGCCGCGAGAGCTCCTCGACAATGGCAGGCCATCGCTTCATTGTCGATGAGTGGTAGCCGGCGCAGCTACTCCTCAGGTTAGACCACAGTCACCCGGTCCTTGATGGTCCCTTGAACTAAACAGACATCATGGCAGAACCCTCGACGATTTCAAAAACCCTAGACCAGAAAAAGACCGTCGAGGTCAACAGCCAAACGATACCGACAGACACCTGGTTCAACGTCCCGACAAACGTCCTCGACGCCGCCTCGCGCAAGCTTCACCTCCAAAAAGACCACCCCGTATACATCACGCGGCAAATTATCGAGTCGCAGTTCCCGGCGCCGACTTACAAGTACCACAACACCTTTGACCCCGTCGTCACGACGCACCAGAACTTTGATTCGCTCGGGTTCCCCCTGGACCACCCGGGCCGCGCGAAATCAGACACCTACTACTTCAACAAGGACACCCTCCTCCGCACGCACACGAGCGCCCACCAGGCGCAGACCTTCCAGAAGAACCTGAGCGAGGGCTACCTCATCAGCGCAGACGTCTACCGCCGCGACGCCATCGACAGGAGCCACTACCCCGTCTTCCACCAGATGGAGGGCGCCCGCATGTGGGACAGAACGAAAGTGCCCAACGGCGACATCGCCGCCGCCGTCTGGGAGGACCTCGATAGGCTGCCGAAGCACAACGTGAAAGTCGAGGACCCGCACCCGGCCTACGACGCGGAGCGGAACCCCCTACAGGAGGGCCACCACTCCCCCGCCGAGGCCGAAGCCATCGGCGCCCACCTGAAGCGCTCACTCGAGAACATGGTGGTCGAGATTTTTACTAGGGCCAAAGCCGCGGCGGCGAAGGCGGACCCGGACTACAAGGACGAACCCCTGCGTGTCCGCTGGGTCGAGGCGTACTTCCCCTTCACGAGCCCCTCGTGGGAGCTCGAGGTCTACTACGCAGGCGACTGGCTCGAGGTGCTGGGCTGCGGCGTGGTGAAGCAGGACATCGCCATCAACGCCGGCGTGCCGCAGCAGGTCGGCTGGGCCTTTGGCATCGGCCTCGAGCGCATCGCCATGCTCCTCTTCCAGATCCCCGACATCCGCCTCTTCTGGTCCAAGGACGAGCGGTTCCTGAGCCAGTTCAGGGGCGTCTCGGACCAGCTCGACAGCATGAAGCGCTTCGTGCCCTTTTCAAAGCACCCGGCCTGCCCCAAGGACGTCTCCTTCTGGCTCGGGAGCACCTCCTCGGCAGCGGGCGGCAACACGAAAGCCAACACGCAGGACTTCCACGAAAACGACTTCATGGAGCTGGTGCGCGACATCGCCGGCGAGCGGGCCGAGGACGTCCGGCTGGTGGACGAGTTCACGCACCCCAAGACGGGGAGGCGTAGCATGTGCTACCGCATCAACTACCGAAGTCTCGAGCGGACCCTGACCAACGAGGAGACCAATGAGCTGCACAGCGAGGTGACCCGGAAATTGGTCGAAAAGCTAGGCGTCGAGATCCGGTAAGGGAAGACAGAAAGGGGAAAAAAAAAGGGCAAACAAACACTGTGCAAGCAGTTGTTCAACGTTTGGCATAGTTTGAGGGGTAAAAGGGGGCTGTGCTGCCAACAACTTGTTATTCCCTCATCTTGAAGATGGGACGAGGGCTACCGATCCGATGGCGGTGAGTAAGTCCACATTCGGCATGCCATCACATACTGCATGGCATCATACTAGTATACTAGAACCCCGGCGTAAGTTATACGCCTCTGCCCGAGGCGTTGTCGTGAGATGGGTGCTGCTAAGCTTTTAGCTTGCGCCCCGGCTATGTGCCTGTGTAGAAGAAGAGGCCGTCACGGTCGTGTATCATATCAACTACATTGTACTATCAAGAACCCCACCCCCAAGAAAAAAAGGATGGACTGAGCTCAAGCTTGATTGTTGTGAAGGCTGAGCAGAGCTATGAATCAAAACACTAGAACCTCAGAGTGAAAATTACGGGAACTCGGGATTTCCTTTGATCCCGTCGTCTTGCAGGTGTGATGTGCTGTGTTCCTCGGAAGCTATGATTCTGAAGCAACCGTGTGATGTATACATACGGAACATCAGACCAACGGAAAGAAAAAAAAATCAAGAGCAGGAGTAGAGAATCGTTGAAAGTCAGCAGTGGATCGTGGATCGCCCTATCAAGCGTCCGAGCATCTCGGAACAAAGGAAAAGAAGATCTTACTGCTGCTGCTGCTGCTCCTCAGACGAATGTAATCATGCTAGTCCTGGATTGCGGGAGTTCAACTCCGCCGGTTCGGGAATGAAGCAAAAAAACAAAAAATCTGAAGCAGTGACGCCGGGGTTGCAGATCGATTGTATCATGCGCAAAACCTACACACACAAAGCTCGCGCGCAGCAGCACGAGCGCATTAGTCTTCGGGAAGATGGAGTAGACCATCGACCCGTCGTCCCATCACCAAGAAACTTGGGACGGTCGTGCAAAAAGTCAGTTTCAAGGCTGTTCATTTCCTCACATAAGATTTCAGCCAATCCTGGTGCTCGCATTGTCACAAAAATCATGAGACTTGAGCTGGCCTACAGTACCAATGGTGGTGGAGGGGGGAGAGGTTTTGCTCGTTTGTTAGACAGTAAAACTACACAGCCCACGTACCCTTGTCGAGCTCTCGTCGTTCCTTGCATCAGACCAAGCTGTGATTGTTGCAAGAGGTTTCCTCAATGCTGATTTCTCCCTCTCGCAAGCGAGGTCCTTGTAATGTTGTCCAAACGGATGAGATGAGTTTGCCATCGCTTCAGGTCCGACTCGGCAGCAAAGTTTATCAAGCGGTAATCTCTCTGAGCAGGCAATGTCTTTGGTGCAAGGAAGCCCCCGTCCTTCCGGGAGATAAGGTGCAAGGCATATCGAGCTTGTGAGTACACTACTCTATAGACGTCCTGATGCCGCAGGATCGCAACAAACGGTTCCTAAGGTTACGGTCGGAACCATGAACTTGAGGTCCTGCAAGTCAGCAGTTGCAAAAGTGCTCTTTCGGGTCCATAGGATATGACTTGGTCGATCGTTGACTGTCGTGCAAGCGAGTTGAGAAACGAAGACTCTTTGCTATAGGCGCAACTTGCCCGACTAGGCAATCGGCAGCCGGTATCATCTGGAATGGCGCCAGTGAAAAGACAGAGCGTCGGAGGTGCAGCGAAATGCAGAAAAAAGAGCATGCATGTCTTGGCCTAGAACGGTGTCTGGGGAAGCCGATTGCAGCACGAAACATCAATCTGGCAGGTGGAAAGTCTTGGTATTTTGCACAGCCTCGTTTCCAGATCGCCAGAGGGGTATTTGCTGACCGTACAGCAAAACCGTAATCTTCCGTGTCAATCGGAGAGAGGGGAGGGTTTCTGCGGCGTGTCGGGGCGATCGGGTTGAAACATTGGCGAACAGCGTCACAGAATGGGTGCTGCTGCCGTTGCAACGATCAGCGGCCGGGCCGTGTTGATTGCTGAAGGCAAATTCCATCTTGTTCGTCTGCTGTCCTCTGGGCTCTGCGGATAAAACCTCGATATCCATTGTGGCTGATTGTCCCTCTGCTAAGGATCAGACGAGCGTGTGCACTGGTAAATGTCTCTGACCAGCGACGTAGGGAAGGGGCTGAGGCTCGGTGCAATTTGGCGCAGAGCTGGCTGAGCGAAGACAAAATTCGTAGGCCGACTCGTGTGCCGGCGCGGGCTGAGCCGGCATAGCGAAGTTCGAACTTCAAAAGCGAGCCGTGACTGAGGCTTTTCGGGACCCCATCCCGCGATCAATCTCGCACGGGGTGACGGAATGCCTTGCCCCTATTCATCCGGCCGGTATGTCATAGCATGAACTCCTAGATCAAGGCAGGTTTTCTGCTGAGTTGGCGTTGCCATCGCTGCGGTTCGTTGAGAGGGGCGGCGGGCTCGCATCATGGGTGAAGCCCCCTCCAAAGCCAAGCCCCAGCCCCAGATGATATAATGCTGGGGTTTGGAGGCGTTGCTCAGCCAAGACCATGAACACAAGCTTTGGTCATTCAGATTACACTGCACCCTGCCGACAACATGGTCAGAAGAAATTTCGGATAGAAGAGCGAACTTTGGTATGATAGCATCACAAGTGATCCAAGGAGGCGCCGCCCCCAAGCCTACTATCGAACCGTAAACTCCAAGTGTTGTAGATACAGTGAGTGGTCAAGACTGAACTTGTCTTGTGAACACAACATTTGCTGCACAGCCCCCATCACTCCATGGACCCTTGGCCAGGGACTGAACGCTGTGGGGGTTTGACTCGGTATCCCTGGAGTCTTTTTAGCTTAACCGCGATAGCGCAAGAGCGGGGAGATGAGCTGTCGAGGTGTTGGTTGTCGAATCACTAATGAGTATGGTGACAGTCGACAGGTCTGGTATCTGCATCTGTAGGGTAACGTTGACATTCGGAGTGTGCCCGAGTCCAGACTGGGCATCTTGAAGATCAGAGATGCAGGTGTCTCTGGAAACGGGTGGCTGCATACTTCTCGGAATGGACGCACCGGAGGCATCCCAAGACCCAAGAAGCGGCGGGAAGACCCAAGCCCTCGGTGGCTGTCTGCTGTGCCTGTTTCTCGCGTGTTCAGGGACGTACGGGAAGGGAAAACAAGAGAGACCCGAGTGTGAGGTCACAGGACATGGTGGACGGATACGCTGGACAGGGTGGGAAGATGGCGATGCGCCGCTACCGAGCGTAGTGCTGTTGATGGCTGCCGTAGCTGCGGTCAAGTAGCGGGTCGAGGCACTGGTTCTCAGCGCTTTGGAGCACGAGTCTCGCTTCAGAGCCCGCCGTCATTGTTGACCATGTCCACCTGTCCTCAGTTCAGGTCCTTCGGATAGTGCGCTGGGCGTGTGGGGGAACAGCCGTGGAAGAGGCTTCCGTCGTAGAATTGTTGCAAGGGGAGGCCTGCGGGAGGCGAAGAGGTTTGCTGCTGGAGCCGACAACGACAACGAGACTGCGTTCAGTGACTGTCTTGTCGCGGCAGCGCCTGCCCTGTCGCAGCAGCGCCTGCCCTGTCGCAGCAGCGCCTGCCCTGAAGGAACAGCCGTGCCAGCCAGTTTGGGTTCAATGGAAGGCAAGCACCGCCCTCATGGCACACCGTAAAGTCGTCACTAAGGAAATTACCGATTGAGGCGGAGATAACTGGAGCCGCTACCGTAACGGTACGTACTCGGATCCAGCCCGTCCAAGAGTCCACTGGCGTCTTAGCTCATCCGTTAAGGAAGACACCAAGGGGACCAGAACACGGAAACTGCGCGTAAAGAATGGCTGGGGTGGCGAATGGCATTCTCGACAATTCGATTTCCAGCGGGGCCGACGAACCAAGACCTGTTCGATTCGTCAATAGTCTGCCGTGTCAAGCGGTTCCATCCATCTCCACGCCAGCGAGGGACGATAGAGGTCCAGGTCCTTCGTGGATCATTTTCCATGAGCCACCAGGTGCAACCGCAGCACGACGCGAAGCAAGGGCAAGGTCCTATTGAGGATGAGCTCGAGGTATGGGCATGGCAGATATTGCAAAGCAATGTCGCGGAAAGCATCCCGTGGACACTTCAGACTTGAGGAATGCCAAGCCTTCTGGAGTGGGAGGAAAAACTTTTGCCGTATCATTTTCCTCTATCCGTATTGCCTCTTGCTCTTGCACAGCCCCAATTCATGTCAGCCGTGTTAGTCCTGATCCTGGGCTGCTGGATGCCCAGTGCTTGCCTCTCACGCCTCTATCTGTCTCTCTGCTCAGAGGCAAGGTAAGCAGCCCGGTAAGTTGGTGAAATGATGAGCCGAACGAACAAAGTGACTTACCACCTTAATTACCTCATGGCCTCTCTCATCCTGTATACTCTACGATGGTACAAGCTGGTGCCTTGCCGCTGTTCTCTATGCGTCGTCCGATCCCGACGTGCTCCTTCTCGCGCCAATGCACCTTGGCAAACCCACGCGCCCTGCCTTGCTGTGAACCTTTTTCCCACCTAGGAGCCTGGAGTAAGCTGCCCTGTGAAGTGAGGTGGTCTGCACTCGCACCGACTGGGCTGTAAATTGACTGCGTGACTAGCAACATAGGACGTGACTATGTTGTCCGTGGGAACGGATAAGGAAGGGGACCGTAGGAGAGTCCCCGTCTGCCCGCCTGCCGTCTCCACCACTGTGACGGCGCTCTCCAAAAAGGCGGCGAAACTTCAAACGGGCCCGTGAGTCCGTGTGGCCTTCCCGTTTCATCCACACAGACACTCCCAGCGCCCCACTCAACGTCCAGAGGCAACGGTACCCCTCCCCTCTACGCAGTACCTAAGCCAAGTACCTAATAACTCAGCCATCCACCATCCACCTGGCAAGCCTGGCACCGTCCACCATCCAACCATCAACCATCCCACACTCCGCCCGACCCCAGTAGTCCCTCAGTAGCGCTTGGCCAAGCCACTCTCTCACTGGCACGCTCAAACATATAACCAAGACCGCCTCCCGCCAACCACCACGATCATTCTTCGTTCCAACTCCAGCAACGACCAAAACACTACACAAACAAGCTGCACTACTGCAAGTCTCCCTTCTGCAGATGAATAAGATCACTACACAATCGGCGTAGAATACACAGCAAAGAGCTAGAAACCGACCTCCTCGCCACACACATCGCAAAACCCACACCTCAATCACATACACAGACACATACACAACCATCCAAAATGGAATCACCTCAGTTGGATACCCGCCCCATCTTCTCGAGACGCTCGACCGGCTCCAACAAGTCGCTCTCCCTCGATCTTTCGTCTCTGCCGCCTCTGGTCCAGCCGACGCCACCCACAAACACTCTCCTCTTCACAAACCTCAACGACACCTCCATCTTCCGCCCCGACAACCTCCAGACCATCCGCGACCTCATCCTCAAGACGGCGCCAGTCCACTCATGGGCACCACTCAAGTCCTTCCGCCGCATCGTCGTCTCCTTCTTCTCAGAGGACGACGCCATCGCCGTCCGCCGTGTCTGGGACGGTGAAGCTGTCATGGGCGAGCGCGTTCGCGTCTACTTTGGCCAGCCCACTCCCGTCGAGGTCACCGACCGCCACCTCGCCCTGCCCGACGCCGGAAAGCTCTTCTTCATCTCCCCCCCTCCCTCGCCCCCTCACGGGTGGGAGATGAAGCTGGAGGACGCCCCCAACAAGATGGTGCACGCAGAGGACCTCGCCGATGCGCTGGCCAAGCTTCACCACCGCCCGACGGGTGTCGAGACCCCCATCAGCCCCGTCGACGGCTCAAGACAAACGCGCAGCAGGAGCTCTACCCTGCTCTACCAGCCTGATGTCAACGGCACCAGCCCCGATCTGCCTGCCATCTGCCTCGAGGACATGACCGACGAGCCCATGGAGTTCAGCCCTATCGAGCCGAAGCCCATCATGGCGCATACTTCTCGTCCACCCGTGGAGCTGATGCACCACGCATAATTCTTGATTTCGACTGAATTTGTTTTTTGAGAGAGCGATCTTGGTCAGGCGTTGGATGGTACGATATTGGGATTGTGGCGGTTCAGGAACTTTGGGCACGCATCTAGCATCGAACGGGCTTGCGACGGCGTTTTACGGAAAGACCACAGCTCGCACATTGGAGCGGTACACTATTGGATTGGGGAGGAATACTATTCGAATGGGATCGGCACTATCACACTGTCGTTCCTGGTGGCCAACGAGCCAATTTGTTGCGCAAAAAAAGTTTCTACTGTGTTGCTCAGAAGCACACAAGGTCTTTTCCTGTACACTAGATTCACCTTTCGCTCTCAGTATTGAAAGACAGCGAAACAAACAAACTTGATTACCAACAAGAAAAGTGGTGTGGACCCCTATAGCTGTCTCAGTATTGTGATATGTAGCTCTATACTACTACTTCTGCGACCCGAAACCTGCGGCAGAGACGTTCATGCTGTGGAGTCAGATTCGTGGACTGGAATGATGCGCGCCAGGCCAAACGGTTTGATCTTCAAATACAGTGATCTACACTATGGCTTTCGAACCCCCCATCAACCAAGGGTGAAGAAATCCGGCCCCTCACAGCCGATCGGGACCAGGCCGTCTGACTATTGTTTCTGACGTGTGATGGGCCACCTTTGTCCCTGCAAGGGCTCACGTTCATCGGCAGGCACGATGCTCAAAGAACCCTCCCAAACAGGGCCGACGCCCCGCGGATGCCCAGCCAGGCGAGCAGACTTGCGAGTGTGACGGCCACGCTTAATGTAATGAGGCTCCGGCGTTCGTTGCTGCGCACGCGGCGTGTGCTTGCTCCTGCTCGTGCTCCCGCTTTTGCATCTGCGGGGGTGGAGCCGGGCTCGTGAGTCGACGGGTCCGGGTGCTGCTGGGTCCGGGCCGCTGCCTTGGTGGACGGGACGTCTAGGGTCGGGATGTACTTGAATTCGAAGTTTGTTTCTTTGCCTAGGGCGCCGAGCTCGGGTTTGTTGATTGTTATGTTGTAGAGGGCTTTTTTGAGGTTCTGGGAGGGGTGTTAGAGGGTACTGTAGTTCAAGGTGTAATAAAGGAGGGGGATCATATTCTCTTTATATCAACATGTTGCCGAAATGGAAACATATTATGGAAAGAGTATTTCCAAAAGGTATATTTTTACTAACCTCGTTCCTCGACTCGTCCCAACGGGGAAACAGACGGCGGGAGTAGCACATAAACATGAAGAAGAGACATTGGCCGAGTATAAGCAGCGAGTAATAAAACGGCGGCCTCTCCACCGCCAACGCGTGCGCGAGCTTGGGGCCGTTGAGCCAGTACGTCTCGGCGGCGAGGAACTCCCTCGAGACGTGCCAGGGCGGCTGCTCGGCGAGCCCTGTAAGAACGTTGTTGGCGAGGGCGCGCGAAGTGTCGGAGGGCTGGATCTCGGAGGCAAGCAAGGACTCCATCGTCGCCCTGGCCTTGTTTAGGCTCGAAAAAGCGTCGGTGGGCGTGCCCATGATGTAGGCCACGTAGCGCCAGAGGGCGAGGTAGTCCCGTTTCTCGCTATCCTTGAGGAAGATGCCTTGGCGGGGCAGGCCGATCCAGAGTAAGGTAGAGGAGAAGGTTGTGATGGTGCCGATGGAGTCGAGGTCGTTTACGGGGACGCCGTAGGCTGCCACATCGTAGTAGGAGGGCCGTTGCTTGGCGAGGAGGAGGATGCGGCGGCGGACGGCGGCGTGGAGGAGGCGGACCCGGACGGAGGAAGCGTGGCCTTGGCCGCCGGGTTGGATGGAGGGGAGGTCGCGGGTGACTTGGATGATGTGCTGGAAGGTCTCGAGGAGGCGGCGGCGGGTGACGTTGACGCCGAAGCCGCCTGTTCTAGAGAGGGTTTCTACGACGCGGCGGCCGCCCATGCCGCCTACGAGGGATTGGAATGTGAGCTGTAGGTTTAATGTTAGTGAGGGCCGAGAGGTTTATGATGAGAAAATACATCGTGAGATGAGTGTGGGTTGGACTTACGGCGAATATGGTTGGGGCTGCGTATCGGAGGAAGACTTGTTGTCCGCGTTCGATTTGAGCCCAGTCGACCCATGGCGGGATGGTGTTGATTTCAGTCCATAGTTTTCCCAGAACCTCGTCTGCGTCTGCATTGTCTCTCAAGAGAGCATACAGGTCTCGATGTGGTTTCGCATTCTGAGGATTGTCCCCTTTCTCACTCGGGTTGGGTGAGGGTCTCACGGGAGGTGATATCTCATCTAGTCGGTCCAATGCTTCGGCGCCCAGCGCATCGTAAGTATATATCATTGGGCGAAGGTCGTCGGATGTGAGGTGCTCGTCGGTCCACTTAAACCAGTAGTCCCAGACCTCTCGCCACTCTTCACCCCGGTACCAAAGGACACCTGCCATTGCTTTTACTGAAGTTGCAAAGCCTTGACAGTAAATGATGTAAAAGGAGAGTCAGGTGAAATGAATGTATGAGACCTTACCCAAGCACCAAGTTCAAAGTTGAGGAGAGAAAAGTTGAAAAAGACCTGGAAGTCTCAGTGTTCAGTTCGCCTTGGCGAATCGGGGGGCAAAGCTCGAGCTAAGCACGGAATGACTTCATAGACCTCAAAAGACTTGTCTCATCGAAAACTAGAAGTTGTTAGACCAACCCAAAGTCTCCATTCAATCTAAGCTCCAAAAATTATATGAAATGAATAACTACAAGAAAATGAACACAAGGCAATGAATGCAGGACTATAGAGAAAAGCAACTTTCACTTGAAAGTTGGAGACAACCGAAGTGGTGGCCCTTTTCGGATGAGGAGGGTTTGACACCTGACTGGGCGAATCACCGGACCACACTGGTCGACCCGTAAGCCGGCTGGAAAGATGAGGGTAACTGCTACTGAGATTGGACGAAGATGCAGGTATGTGCTTCGGGAAGGTTGGCCCCACGGCCTCAAAGACTGCCAAGGACATGGATGTGCCATGATATTTGCACGTGATTATGCCTTCTCTCCAGTTGTGAGGTAGAGGCGGTATTCGGGTTTGACTGCTAATGACCGCAAGCTCGGTCGGATGGAACAGCCTTCAGTGTCTCTGCTTTATTAGACTAGAACGAGTTCTGCAAGTAAGACCGTGGGTTGTAATTGATGATGTGATGTGTAAGTGGAAGTCGCGCCTCTCTCTGATAACTTCAAACCCATGTTGGTGTTAGTGCAAATAATAAAGAAGCAGCCCATGGGGATTAACAAATATATATGGCACGACCTAAGAACGAAGGGGCCAGAACAATGAAAAAAGAGTTCACCTCGGTAGGCTACATCTCTTGGTGCTCATGCTGGGATTCGAACTCGGGTACTCGCTAAGCCTATCGTCGAGTATGCTGGTTGGCGTGAAATTGATTGTTGACCTTAAACCACTCCACCAACCAGCAAGTTTGACCTGATCCATCGACCTAGACGGACGCCTGCTTGCTGGTGACAGGAATGGGATTGAAGGGGGGTATATAGGCATTCTGTGTACATTCACTCCGGTGATAGAATGGGATGAAGTCGATGTTTATTCTGATAAGGTAGGCGCTGGCGGGGCACCGCTCTCAATTGCTGACTTTCCATGGCCGCCCCGCTGCAAGCACTTCCACAGCAGCCCCTGCGGCGCAGCGGCGCTTTTCCGCCGGGCGCCCCTGCGGCGGGTTCCCTTCTCCTGTCTGCGCGTCCCGTCCCGTCCAGTCGCGGAACCAGATTAATTAGACTCGAGCTCGACTTTTTTTTCTCCTTCCCAGGCCAGCAAACGCCTCCTTATCTAACCTCACCTCAACCTACCTAAGTATCCGACTTTACACCAGAGCTCGACTGCCTCCCATCCCATCCCGAATCAGAAACCTCACGATCACGCGATGCTCTGCTCTTGTCGCCTGAGCCCCCTGCGGCTTTTCGTCCAGGGCATTTCGCAATTGCACATCTCTGAACCCGTCGTCGCAACGAGACTCCCGCAACAACTCAAGAACGCCCGTACCTTACAGATCAGCCAAGCCTCAACGTTTGCGACTTCGGCCATTCACAACAAAAAGCGTGACTTCATACCATTTGAAAAAGGAGGAAAGCAGGCTACATCAAGAGGACCACTCGAAGAACAACCTGACGAAGAACCGGCGAAACCGAAGCGAGAAAACTGGCAGCTCCAAAAAGAGGCCCTAAAGAAGAAGTTTCCCGACGGCTGGAATCCGCGCAAGCGCCTGTCCCCGGATGCAATTGCTGGCATCAAGGCGCTGCACGCCCAGTTCCCCGAGGAATACGATCTGAAGACGCTCGCCGACAAGTTTCAAATGTCGCCGGAGGCGATCCGCCGCATTCTGAGGAGCAAGTGGCAGGCGACGCCAGAGGAGGAAGAGGACAGGCAGGAGAGGTGGTTCCGGCGCGGCGTCAATGTGTGGTCGCGGTACGCGGAATTGGGCCTGAAACCACCTAGCAAATGGCGTCGCGAAGGCGTTACTCGAGACCCCTCGTACCATCAGAACCGCAAGGAGGCGATACAGAGGAGGAAAGAGGAGGAAGCCAAGGAGAATGTTGGGGAGAGGCTGCAACGGAAGCTGTCTGATACCATCATGTGAGTGCTGGACAACGGCGACCGCACTTCTTTTCGACCAGCAGCTCGAATATCATCTCAGCTCTTACAATATATCGGCCGGCACATGGCCTCAAAAATCTAATAATGAATATTACATCAACACACATCTCGAGCGCAGCGATTGTCGAGCTCAAGTGGTCGAATATGCGCATTGTGACGGAGCCAATCATTCACCCCTAGCAGCTGCATGAACCCCATACTACTCATTAGATCTGCGATAGGCTGCTGTCAGCCTCTCCTTCACAGATGCAAAACCTCACTGCATGCGCAAATCGAAGACATTGTCATCAAGAAACGTCCCAGCTGGTAATTTTAGACAAACACACGAGTCGCCAAAATTGAACCATGAGACTTCTATCGACAAAGACAACAAAACTCGAGGTCTTTGATCTCGAAAATGCTCCACCTTACGCAACGCTATCTCATCTTTGGGAGCATGATGAGGTTCTATTCCAAGATATGGAAGACTTGTCCAGAGCGGCTCGGAGAGGTGGCTTCCTAAAGATACAATTGGCATGTGCTGCGGCTGAAAGACAAGGGCTCGGGCACATCTGGATCGATACCTGCTGCGTAGACAAGGAAAGCGAAGCTGAGCGGAACGAAGCAGTCGAGTCCAGCTTTCGCATCTTCAAATCGGCGGCAGTATGCATTGCCTACCTGTCTGACGTTAGATCAGAGAGTACCATGCTGGCTGAGTATACTTCTGTAGCTGACTTTCATCCGGACAACAACCTGGAGGGCAAATTTCGACATGCATTCAAACGTAGTAGATGGTTTACGCGGTCCTGGACACTGCCGGAACTTATTGCTCCACCGCAGCTTGTATTCTATTCCCATGGATGGGAACTTATCGGCACACGGTCGCAGCTCCGGGCGCATCTGTTCGATATTACTGGTGTTGATCCTTTCGTTCTCCAAGGTGGTGATCTCGCAAAGGTATCTGTGGCCCGGAAGATGTTCTGGGCCACAAGCCGCAACGCATATCGACTCGAGGACATTGCATACTCTCTGGCAGGATTATTCGGCGTCGAGATGATTCCAATCTATGGCGAGGGCAACGTAAGAGCATTCTTACGTTTGCAGGAACACATTGCGAAGACCGTCCCAGACCCCACGCTTTTTGCCTGGAGAGAAGATTGGTTTCGTAAGAGTCCGAAGTGGAAGAATTTCCAAGATCTTGTCGACTCAGCCGACCTCTGGGCCTTCTTAGCAACCAGTCCAAGTGCCTTTAGCCACTGTGGAAGCATGTTTCCCGCCATGGCGACTATTGACGACATGAAGCCACACCACAGAGACTTCGACAATGATGACGACTCGACGTGGGAAACTAGCTCTGTGGCATCCTTTCAATCGTCAGCAACCACTTTGATTGAGGGTTCGACTTCAACACCGGTCACATCGGGCTTAGGCAACGCGATATCATTCTTGTCCGAAAATGATTACTTATATCCGCTCTACAAATTGGCCCTCCAGACGCCTGGGGTAGGTCCTGATAGGCTGCGGAGAAACCTGACCCGCATGCTGCGATCTTTGGGTCTGGAATTAGCAATAGAAGCGACGTCCAAGGAAGAAGCTCTGTCCTCAGTGTTTTTCCGTGTCTACCGGCTGGCAATCGCGTCAGGAGTCACTTCGAGAATCGCCGAAAAGAGCCTCGAGCCCATCGCCCTTGACCAGCCGAGAACTAAAGCGCCGGAAACTATTTCAGGCACTTTATCTGAGGATACTCTCCCAGATGAAGTCGCGCAGGTCGAGCAGAAAGACGACGACCTGGATCATGAAGAAGATGAGGATATCCCCGAGGAGAAAGAGAAGGAGGAACAAACAAATGAGTTGAATTTTGAGTCTATCCGGGCCTTCGTTCTCTCTAGCGGGGCATTCGAGAACATGAAGAGAAGACTTACCGACTTCGTCAACCCCACCTTCCGCACTCAGGCCCAGAAGCTCGTTGCGAAGGTCCTCGAAGGCAAGAACACATTGGATGACCAGTATTGGGTTGGCATGAAGGACAAGATGCAAGCCATCCTGACAGAGCTAGAAGAGTCGTGTCCCCAAAGCGTTGTGCTGGACATCGCAACCACTCCTAAGAGGCTCGATTCATTCCAAATATGGGTGGAAACTTTGACAAAGGAAGCTTGGGACTGGTGGCCTATGTCGCCTCCCAAGCATGCTTTGAGCCCGACTGAGGCGCGACTTGGATGGCGCTGTGTAAGTTCGATGCGTCGGTCACTCACAGAGACTTACGTTGCTAATATTACACACTCAGAGGTGCGGCATCTCAAGATGGGAAACCGTCCCAGCTTCATTTGCGGGTAGCGTCACAATGTTGCTGCAAAAGTATCCTTTCGCAAGCCGAAACCATACAGCCTCAGCAAGCAGCCCAGCACCAGACGCTCCGCCGACGTCTTCGAAAATCGATGAGACGTCGTCGCTGGGGACAAGATCCATCAAGACCTCCAGCGTCAGCGAAACATCAAAGTTGCCTGACCCAGCGTCCTCGCCTATTCAGGAGAATCAGATTGGTCAGAAGCGTGAATATCCCCGGCCGAGGTACATCTTTTTGCTTGCGACTACTGGTCGGCATCGGCTCAGGCAACTACCCTCGCTCTACTTAGACACCGCGGATTTTGGACAGGAATTGCGAAAAGCGTACCGCGAGCTCAAAGGCTTCTGGAGGAGGTGGTTTTCGCCTTACAACTTCTCTCATTGCGAGTTTGTGCGTGTAAGTGATATCCTTTCGTTCGTCCTAAAGCGAGGCAACGTTAATAGACTCTTCCCCATCACGGCCTCGTAAGATGGCTAGCATAGTAGCACGCGAGCCTGAAGACTCGTACTAAATTCTCACCAGTTCGAAAAGTTCTGCCGCGACGGCTTCGCCCATCGCGGCCTTGAAGTTCCAAACACATCCCAAAAGGACTACTACTACAACCCGCGTCCCGCCCTTCGCGAACCCCCGGTCTCTCCCGAAGAATTCAGCCACGTCTTCCACTACACGGCCAAGAGCGAGGCCGTCATCTGGAGATCGCTCGGCCTGCCGTTCTATGATACCGTGGAGGCGCTGAGCGACGATACTGTCGGCTGCATACCGCAGCGGTACCACTACCTCGACGAGCGGAGTAATCGCAAAGAAGACTTTTGGGGCCTGTATATCCGGGAACGGCGGTCTGCGCTGATGACGTCGGTGTATATCCTGCTATGCCTTTCGCCTTTTTTTGCGTTTTGCTTTTTGTACTTGTTTGGAGTTATCTCGGGAGATATACAGAACGCTACAACACCGCTTGCGTTGGCGTTGACGGCTCTTGGGTTGTTTTTGGGGTCTATGATTAAATCTTAGAGGGGCAGGTACTTAGTCGATGAGCCATGGTTTTTGGTCTTTCCATGGCTTTAGCAGGATTGTATGAGGATATATGGATGTTTGGCGTTGGAGTCTAATACCAGGAAAGAGTTGAGTCACTGTCACAGCTGGTGCGTATCAGATGTCGGTCCTCCCTTTCAGCAGATTAGTCATTTTTCACACTATTACTACTTCAAGGCTCAAGACGTGGAAAGTACGTAATCAACAAATAATGAAAGGAACCTCTAGGCAGGTTCGTATTTCGCAACTCTGTGAGTGCAACATCATGTAGACACCGGCTTTGAGTATTGAATGAAGGGATCAAACTATTACAGCGTTCCTATGCACATAGCCCGCACTCACCCATGCATATCAAATTTCACTCATTCAACCGAACCTCTAACAAAACACAACCAAAAGTAAAAGAAATTGTCCATCGGAGACGATGGTTCCAAGGACCGACCGCGATTCGAACGCGGGGCCTAGAGATAGGTTGCTGCTGAGGAGCTGCAATCTCTCGCTCTACCACTGAGCTATCGATCCTGGTTGCTTAAGCGGGATGAAGGCTTAGTCATCTGGTTGTTGGGAAAGAGGGCGTCTCCATCGTCTCATGGAGACTTTGGCATGCAGCAAGGGGACACATAAGCGAAAGGCAGAAAGAGAGAAGCGAGTTGGGAAGTGGGAACCGTTGATGTGGATGATGTGGTTACATGACACGCTTCGCCTGCAGACGTGGAGTGGAGACTTTTTTTCTTGCTTAGCAAATTGTGCATATGTAACCGTATGAACATGTTCATCGTATGCAGGTGAGAAGGACGGGTGGAACATGGAGAAAAACTAGACGAAGCATGGGATACTTCACATTCACAACAGGACGCGTAACGGAGTGACGGGCGCTTGTGGGAAACTTGCAAGTGACATTTGAACACAAGTTTGATATTTCGGCTCCCAGTGCTAGCTCCTTCAACCTAGGGCTATGTTAATTAATGTACAGGGCGAGGCCAGTCTAAAACACAACGCTAGAGCTTTAGATACCCAAGGAGAACTCGACGCCGACATCAATGTCACGGGCTAGAGGATTGCAGTTAGCATCTGAGCTTCAAGAACGAGAGTATGGGGAAATCTATGACTTACCCATCTTGACAACCTTGGACAGTTGCACAGCCTTCTCGGCGGCGGTCTGGAGGTCGTCGATGGAGAAGATCTTCATGCCAGAGTTATTGATGATCTCGTGGGCGGCCTCGACGTTGGTACCCTGGAGACGGGCAATGATGGGGATCTTGAGGTTGAGCTCCTTGGAGGCGTTGATAAGACCCTTGGCGATGAGATCGCAGCGGACGATACCACCAAAGATGTTGACAAAGATGGCAGAGACCTTGGGGTCGCTCGTGATGAGCTCAAAGGCCTCCTTGATGGCAGCGGGGGTGGCACCACCACCGACGTCGAGGAAGTTGGCGGGGGTACCCTTGTTGAGCTTGATGATGTCCATGGTGGCCATGGCCAGACCGGCACCGTTGACGAGGCAGCCGATGTCACCGTCGAGCTTGATGAAGTTGAGGCCGGACTCAGCGGCGCGGACCTCGTCGGCGTCCTCCTGGGTGGTGTCGCGGAGAGCGAAGACCTCCTTCTGGCGGTAGTCGGCGTTGTCGTCGAAGCCGAACTTGGCGTCCATGCAGAGGACCTTGTGGTCAGAGGTCTCGGAGAGGGGGTTGATCTCGATCTGGGTGGCGTCCTTCTCGAGGAAGATCTTGTAGAGCTTCTGGATGGTGTCCTTGGCGTCCTCGATGCACTGCTCGCTGAAGCCGAGCTTAACGGCGATGTCGCGGGCGATCTCGTCGGTGACACCCTTGTTGATGTCAATGTTGGTGGTGATGATGGCGTCGGGGTTCTCCTTGGCGACGGTCTCGATGTCCATGCCGCCCTGGGAGGAGGAGACGATGACGGGGGCCTGGGAGGCGCGGTCCATCAGGATGGCGAGGTAGAACTCGCGGCGGGCGAACTTGCGCTCGCAAATGTAGACGGAGCTGCAGAGCTTGCCGCCAGCGCCGGTCTGCTTGGTGATGAGCTTGTGGCCAATCATCTGCTCGGCGAACATCTCGGCCTCGGTGGGGGAGTAGATGACGCGAACACCGCCCTTGAGGCCGTTGTCGAAGGTGCCCTTTCCACGTCCACCGGCGAGGACCTGGGCCTTGATGACCATGTCCTCACCACCAATCTCCTTTGCGATGGCCTTGGCCTCGGCGGCGGTCTTCGCGTTGGATCCCTTGGGGACACCGACTCCATACTAGAAACGAGAAAGCGACCCGCGCGTTAGCTATTGTCTTGGTTCTTTATCGCGCTGAGCTGGCTGAGAAGGTCCTGAAAAACTGGCCCCCCCGAAAAGGAGTGGGGCCCCATGTATCGCAGATTCTCTGGTGGGTGTGTTTACCTGGCGCAGAAGGTCGGCGGAGAGGTACTCGTGAATGCTGAGGTTTCTCCTTTGTTGCTGGGCAAGGCCCGGGTATCTGGGAGCGGCGACCTTTGAGGAAGTTTGGATGGCAGAAGCCAACCGGCTGCGTCCGAGCTTGAACATGATTGTGAAGGGGGTTTATGTGTTCGTGTCGCGAAGGACGGGGGGTGGTTTTCGAAGATCGGAGGAAGAGGGAAAATACGTCAAGCGCGCCTGTCAATTAAATGACTGACAAGAAGGTCCCGACGGGTGGGATGAAAAGGCGCGAGGTCGTAGGAAGGGAAAAGGAAGAGGACTGACGAGGAGTCCTTCGAGTGTGCTGTGATGCAATTGGTTTTGCAGGAAAGCGCTATCTCCAGCAATCTCAAACGGGAAAACCAGAGGTTTCTGGGCCGCGGGAATTCCCGGTCCTCTGGTTGGTTTTCGCTCGGAACAAAGCTTCAGCCGAGCTACAGGGTTCCACCGCCGCTTTTAGCTGCTAACGGAGCTTGCTTCCTCCGCCAAAACCGTCGCCATTTCTCCGCACTCTAATTTAGGAAAAGTACATAGCAGAACCTGATACTCACAGATCGATCAGCTCATATCTTCAGTTTTTCTCCAAGAACTTCACACTAAGTCCACATCACTAGGTATTCCATTGCTGGCCGAGGCACGGGATAGCTCCGTCGAGAAGTCAAGGTCGGACTCGGAGGCCATCCGGTAAAGCGGCCGAAGGTGGCCCGAGCTCCGAACCCGTGCACCTGTCAAGACACAACGCCAACCACGTGTCTGCACTGCTGCAGGAAGCTGCATCTGCAGGCTCATCATGTGGCGTCATTTCTTCACCTCGACTTTCAGACATTGCTGGGATCCAGCTTTCTGCACGCTGCCAGCCGACTCCAGAAGCAGCATGTTCATTTGAACTCATAGTATTGAAAGACTCACAGATACACCAGAACAAATCTTGACTCCCTCGGCTCAGCTCCCACCTACCCCTTTCCTGAGCGTCATTGCATATAACCATATTGCGGCATAAAGGCAACCGAGATGAACCCTACCTATCCAATCATCTTGTCTGATTCGGTATAGATGCTATCTTGACGACATCATATGTATTTCGGAACCGAGAGGTCGTACCTATGACGGTGAAACTCGCTTGATCGCAGTTTTGGAACCTGCTACAAAGTCAGCGACCATTGTTGAAGTTGTCAAAGGTTGTAACTTACAGTACTCATCTCGGCATGACTTTGCCAGTGCGCCAGAGTCAGCCTTTCACCACGTTTAATCCATCCACTATATCTATTGCGTGACCGCTTAGTCGGTGGACGTAATACTCAGGTGCCGCGCTGGAAGTCGGGCGGAGAGCCTTAGATGTTGCCATTTTCGATACCAGCTACCGGCTCTGGTACAACACTGACTACAACTGACCATGATTGGCATACGTGGACCAGGACGTAGACGGGCCGCTCTTGCGCCAATAAACACTGAGCCACGACTCTGCACAGTATGATAGTGGGCAAGGCTTTCCTCAAGCGTCCCAACCACAGTCGCAGTCTTCGGCTAGCCAACCACCATGTGCTGATATCCGCTCGAGCTTGATCCAGCTTCCTCGCGGTAGTCGATCCCGCAGCTTGAATAATCTCCTTGGCAGTTGATAGCAGGCTGCCGGCGAATTGCAATATTCTGCGGAACCAAAGGCGCGATGAGGGTCTTCCTTCTTGGTGGGAAGCGGTGGCTGCCGTGCTCTTGTCTTCGTCATCCGTAGGCGTTATTGCGGAGGGCTGGACATAGCAGGAGAGCTGGTACGAGTGGTATTCCTCAACGTACTGCTCATCGGGCGCATCGTTCTCGAATTCCGATAGCCGGCAGAAGGGGTTCTGTGGTAGTGTTGTTGAAGAATTCCAGGTAGTATTTCGAGTATTTGTATGGCTCCAGTTGCTTCGTGCTGGGCAATACGAAGGCCGCTGGCACACATCCATCTGGGTTGAGTTTCGTTCTTCTTGGCATAGGATTTTACTGGAGTTGACCGTTAGGATTCATGTCGTTGAGCTGGGTTGACGATCGGCTGTGAAGTGGAAGTCAACCCATCTTAATGCCTTGATGGCTTGATAGGGAAGGGCGAGGCGAGACTATAGACGTCCCGTTCTCAAAGACGGCAATTCTCTGCGTTTCCAGGCATGACAGCCATTGAATCCGGTAGAAGCCTTAGTAATCCTAGGCTGCTCTGTGTTCAGCAAAGGTCCTTGGGTAAGCAGGTGCTGGTAAAGACTCACTCCTCGTAATGCAATTTTAGTACTTAGACTAGAAGAAACACGAACCTCAAGGAGCAAGAACATGCCTGATGGTTCTGCTGCATGTTTGGTACTAGAACGAAAGAAGCGATATAGGAGCTATCTTAGCAAGCCTAGTTGCGAATTTGGGAAGACACCTGTCTTTGATCTGATTGACTTTCAATTTGTCTCAGCAACACTTGTTGCTTTGAAGAGTCGCTTAGTAAATGGTTCAATTCCGATTTCTTGAAAGAAAAGACGGGCCAAAATAGTAATTGGCAAAGAAGAACAGAACAAGAAAGACATCAACAGTCAAAAGCGTCGGGCCGGAAGAACCTATATCATCACATTGACTCCGATGCGACGCCGGACGTGGTGATCAGGCCATTTCACTCCGCAAATCCCAGGACCCATCTCCGAGATCCCTCCAGCCACAGCATCTGTCGGCACAGAATGGATACCCCTTCGGCTATTGCGATTCTCGGATGAAGGGGCGTCCACAACAACCGTCAAACGGAAGGGAAAGGGATCCACTGTGAGGCTCAACAGACATGTCGTTTCCCGGCCCGCGGTTAACTCTCTTAAATTCCTCTCGAGATCCTAGTCGCCGTGACCGTTTGGCCTTACTCCGTACAATACCCTTGCTACGGGAATAGCGTTCCCATGCAACTCTCCCGTTTCTTGAATTTTCTTAGCTCGCATGCTAGCGAAAGGCCCTCCCGGCGGACACTTCCCGAACCTTGCCCATATCTATTGACACTGACCAGGGTCGATGACGCGAATTTTGGTTTTTGTTCGGGATGATTCCTTGACGGGGCCTGGACTTTGGCGTTGCGGTTGATGGAGATAACCGTCATTTCTTCTCGCCACTTATTCCCGGGTTTTCTCCTTCACGAAGACACCTCCAAAACTTCTGCAGATCAAATATTTTTCTCATTTTTTTTTTCGGTTTCCGAGCAGAGACATCAGGCTGAACGTGTCCGCTAGCTACCGTTTGCTGATCGCCCGGATGATCGGCGCCATACACAGCTCGCGGTTGCAGTCGCAGTCGCGAAACCGTTGACAACGTCGCAGCCACAACCGCAACCTCGCAACGACGAAGCCAGCGGAACAGTTTCAAGTAGGACACCGCTCAGGTCTTATCGCACACCCGGTAATAGAAATATGAAGAAAAAAAACTGTTGATTCCATGATGGAATAGGCTCCACATCGTATGTTGGCCGTAGGAACAACAAGGAAAAGCGGGCTCTGACATTGCGAAGACTCTCCGAACCAGTCCCGAGCCAACTTCAAGGTGAGGTGAGAAGACATTGGAGGCGATTGGCGAAACCGCGAATGTGACTAACCCAACCAGTACGTACCCCCTTCGAACCTCACAAATCTCGCGACTAACTTGTACCTAGACCATTTTTTCTCCTTTCCTCTCAACTTTTCACAGCGCCGTCTTCTTCGAGATTTTGCTAGTCTTCCTGGACTCGAGTGAGCCTTGGACACGAGACCGAGCAACGACTGCAGTCTTATTGATAGCGGTTCCAAGGAAGCGAGACGCACATGGCATCGCACTTTGGAGGTGCGCCGGCGGCGGCAGCCAGCCCGGTGCTAGCTACTTTAGCAAGCGCCCAGTCGAGATTGTTCTTCGTACACCTCAGCCGGGGCGTCGAGCTTTTGCAAGTGTGCAAGCCGTCCACTCAGCTCAGCTTCACATGCAGGTAGGTCATGGGTATTACATCCAGGGGTCCCACAAGAGCGTCTTTGACCTGGGCTCGGCCGGCCATGGTCTCGGAGGTCATTCATCGTGGGTATATAATCTCACTGGGGCCGCCTTTTCCCGAGAAGTCTTCCCTCCCCGTCTCGGTCTTCTTGTCTGCATCTCCAGTTCTGTTTCCTCGCCTTCGTTCCAAAGGCCTTTACGCTTTCTTGTCAAGGGGGTCACCGTTTGACCTTTACCAAGTCCAGTCGATCTCTACTTATACCCTTATACACACGCATACACATAGACCCTCTGGACTTGGTTCACTGGTCCCTTGATCCCTTCCTTCCACTTCATCTCTCAAGCTCCAACAAACACCAACATCGCAATGCCTTCCGAACAAAAGCCTCTCAGCTGGTGGAAGCGCCACTGCACCCCGCCGCCAGCCATCAATCGAACTCCTCAGTGTCCCTGCTCCGCCTGCTGGAACGGTAACGGCGAGCACTGGAAGACGACCGTTCCGCAGACCACGGCGCCGAGGTACACGTCCACCCCGAGCCAAGCAGCAGCAAAAGAGACACGGACGATGGCTCTGCGACGAGAGACAGAATCAGACCTGACACCGCTCCGCCGCGAAGAGACATCCTCGACGACAAACCTCAGCGTCTACTCCCAAGACAGCAACGCCAGCTCAGACCGCGCCTCTGTCACCGACGTTCACCGCCTAACTCTGGGAAAGGAAATCGTCTAAGAGGGTAGAGAAGGGAGAGGGAAGGGGGGATGATGGACGGAGGGGAAAGCGAATGACAAGGACGCGAGGAAAGCTGACTACATCTGGGCTACATTTACCCCGGGAAGTGGCATCTTGGCGTTGGGGAAGTCTGGACCATTCTTTCCGACAATTTCCCTCTACTTATGTCGCTCAAGCAAGGCCTGCCTTCCTTTGATTCAGGCAGGTTGGATCACAACCCCTCAATCCTGCCCCCGGACGCCAAGACGCTTACTATCGTCAAGAGCGTCGTTGTTCTCGCAAGCTGCACAAGCGACGGTCCAGAGCACCAGATTTAGGGTTTGAGATGCCAGATAAGGGGTCCTTGGGTCGCAGTCGTTGGACGAACTGGGAGCGACGCCGGCGGGCGTCCACCCCCTAGCTTTGTGTTAGCGGGGGTGGTGGACTGGTCCCGTTGGGCTGGTGAGATCTCAATCCTGGGGAAGTGATAGGATGGGGTAAACAGAGACATGCTCTTGGGTCTTGGCCCTTGGGTGTGGTGCCGTGCCGCTGGTGGTTGGCGTGCTAGCTATCTCGCTTTTAGCTTGAGGTGGGCTTGGAGAGTTGGGGTAATGGCAGGCCTGACTAGGTATGGAATGCCGGGGGGGTTTTGGCTCCCGCATGTCAGCCAGTCAGGCGGTACGGAGAATCAGCCAAATGAGGTTCGCTTGGTTGGTCCGGTGGTCTCTCGGGAAGCCGTGACTTGGATGTTGTGTCAAGACGATAGATTATACGAGATAGAGAAGGGTGTTTTGGTGTTGGCACATTATGGAGGGCGTTACTTTTCTACACGAACACTGGAGTATGCTATGGGGTTCATTTTGCTAGTTCAATAAACATCACAACAAAGACTTCGGTACCCGGGTTTCCAGTATGATTTATCTCATCTTTCAGATAGCTTCCAGGTTTCTATTATTTCCCTGCTCCTCCTACTATCTCGAAGAATCATTTCGAAGCTTTGGCGGAGCATCTACGGTCCCATCACGGCCCCGTTATTTTTGATCGGTCGGGAACCTGACCCCACCATTGCACCGGGAGCCAAATCAGGTATTTTTTGGAGCAACAAGCTTTGAAAACAGCACGCAATAGCTTTAAAGAGTGACAACAGCAGCACCTTAAGGCGATCTCCAACAAAGGTAGTCAACAAAACAAAAGTATGGAACGCTTCTGAGCGGCAAACACAGCACTGCTGGTGCAAACGGCAAAAGACAAGGACCGACCGCGATTCGAACGCGGGGCCTAGAGATAAACTGCGTTTAACTGCAATCTCTCGCTCTACCACTGAGCTATCGATCCAAGTGGTTATTGAGTGTGAGCAAAGTCGCCGAGGCAGCGTTTAAGACGGGCGAGAAGACACGGTGGCTGCAAATGACAAACAGAATTGCCCGTTGTGGGGCTGGAAGGCATGCAGCTTGGGGCGGGACAGTCACAGTGTGGAGGCCGTTGCTGCTCTACGTCACTTAGAGCTCACCCCAACGGTCTGAGCTGGTGGCATGTAACTGAGGTGAGCTCCAGAGCTCAACTTTGAATCACGCAAGCTACCAGCCTGTCAAACCAGACTTGATCGAGTCAATCCCACACATCTTGGAAAATGGCACCAAATGTAGATCCAGCCATCCTCGAAGCCCTCCAGCTTGATCCTGAACATACCAAAATCGCGTCTCATGGCGGCTCCGGATTCGCATCATCTTTCAAACTCACCTCTGTCATCGATGGTCAGCCCACCAACTTCTTCGTCAAGACGGGCTCTGGGAAAGACGCCGAAGTCATGTTTAGAGGTCGGTGAACCCTGGCTGGAATGGAGAGCAATCTGATGAAGAAAACACATCTGCACTCGATTTCGGCATCCAAAGCTGTCTTAGAAGCAGGAGCATTGACACTTCCCGCAGGCGAACATGAATCGCTAAACGCAATCCACAACGCAGTGCCGAATTTCTGCCCAAAGTCGCACGCCCACGGGCGATACCAGTCATCGCCGGGCACATACTTCCTCGTCACAGATTTCTTAGATCTGGGATCCTCCGCCCCTGGCGGATCCGGCCTGTCACTGGCCGCGAAGCTCGCCAAGATGCACACGACCCCGGCGCCCGTCCCTGAGGGGTTCGACAGGCCCATGTATGGGTTCCCCGTCAGCACTTGCTGCGGCTCGACGCCGCAGGAGAACGCATGGAAGGAGACGTGGGCTGAGTTCTATGCCGAGAATCGGCTGCGCGGCGTCTTGCGCGCGGGGGTCAGGAGGAACGGCGCGGATGGAGAGTTGTCGGAGGTCGTGGAGACCGTTGCGAGCCGAGTTGTTCCGCGGTTGATCGGCGAGGACCGCATCAAGGGAATCAAGCCGGTGGTGATCCACGGGGATCTATGGAGCGGAAACCACGGCCGGGGCCAGATTGCGGGCAAGGGCGGCGCGGAGGAGGTTGTCTACGATTCGTCGGCCGTGTATGGGCACGCCGAGTACGAACTGGGCATCATGAAGATGTTTGGCGGCTTTGGAAGTAGTTTCTGGAACGAGTATAACAAGCTGGTGCCAAAGGCGGAACCAGTTGAAGAGTGGGATGATCGAGTTGCACTCTACGAGTTGTAAGTCCACTCCCTCGCGTCGCTTCGAGATTTCGCCCACTTGCTTGAAGGGGGGTTGCCATGGTGATTTGCCCCGCTAACTTGTAGGTGCCGCAGATATCACCACCTCAACCACTATGCATTATTTGGTGGAGGATACCGCGGAGGCGCCATGGGGATCATGAAGAAGCTGATTTCAAAGTATGGCTGAATCAATTGAAGTTTACCAATATTACCATGGCGTTGGGAAGATTGGTTTGTGCTTGAGGAA